AATGTTGTTGTTGCCTGGCCGTGCAGGTATGCTATATATTCTTAGCCACACCCTGATTTGGTAGACAACCGTCGAAAAATCGCACGAAAACTACCACGTGGTCCGGCGTCTTCGATCTCTTTGAATACGACAAGATCTTGGACGAGATGATGATGAAGCGATATGCCGACTGCCCTATTGACTTTGACCTCGCTTTCCCTTCACTTCCCACACATAGCCCGTCGATTGTCCCGGCGGCAATCGACGCATATCTTTACCTCTAAATTCAGGCCGCATTTATACACATTGCCTATTGTCAAATTGTTATACACGCTCTATTAGCCGTAGATCATTGCCCACCTTTTGTTCACATTAGCGCAGCTTGTTATGTTCTATCATTGGAATAAAGTTTGAGCGAGTCGGCAGGTGAACAGTGGGTGTTTCCAGCAGCATGCTATCGATACACATTCCGATCTAAGAAATGATAAAAGCGCAAAATTAGCAGCTACTGCATATGGATGGCGGGTCGACGGGAATACGTCAGGTGGCAAAAACTATTGGCAAATTTTACCTATGGTCTAGGGGTTTATCTGCTCCGTTTTGCCTCGTTGATCTCGGCAGCTACAACGCCCTAGCAGCCCACGCTGAAAATGACCACCCGGAAGATGCGAATACCCCGCTGTCGAGCAGCTCAAAGGTCCGAATTCTAGGCAGCTGTCTTCAAACGGATTTTTTGTTCCAGGCTTTTTCTGACAAAGCGAAAACGCAGCATCAAACGTTTCGACCTCCGGGGCTTGACATTGGTGAATTTGCGAGGTCGTGTCTCCAGCGGGTTGACGGCCGTCGCCTCGTCGAGCAGTATGACGCAGATTGACGAAACGAGCCCCAAGCAGACCCATCAGAATACGCCAACAACCACCCGCAGCAAGTTCGTGCCGTTTGCTGGCTGGGTTTTTTATTTGTTGGGCAAAGGGAATGCAATCGTAATTTGCAACGCCCCGTTCATGCTCGACTCCCCGCTGCGGTCTTCTTTGAATTTTTTTCCGTCTTTCAAAACAATGCCGCCAAATTTGATTCCGATTCGCAAAATCAGCGATCCCACTCCCGGTTTGAAGCTAAATCAAAGTACGTTTTCATTGTAATTCGTTTCCAGAAATAAAGACTTTGTTGTAGATCACGCGAAGCGCGAACTGCGCCACGTGCCCGGCGACCTGAATTACCACCCTACCGGCCGGAAATAGGTAGCATTATCTTTTTCTCCAGTATTTCTTTATTAGGCGTCACACAAAAAGCACACTGAGTATTACGTCCGATGTCGCGAGGTCTTCCGTCAACGATCTTGTTGTCCGGACGAACACGCTGGGATCATAAGGATGGACAAATTGATAAACGAAGCACCAGCGGATCCAGCAAAACGGAAAGGTTTGGTTGCCAGCTATCCCCCAATTGTGCTTTAGAATCCGAACGATTCGTCGTTCCATGGACAGAAGATTCCGATAGCCCGGCTTCGCCGCGACTGTAATCAAAAATTCAATATGACGAGGTGCTATTCGCTTTGAAGTCATGTAGCCGATATTTAGGCGGCGACACCATTGTCGTCTTTGTAGGAAGGTCATGTGCCAAGCATGCAGCAAATTCTTATCTTTTCTTTCAGCCAGTAAACATCTTACAAATTTTTGTATATAGCTCTTTAGGAAAGTTGACTAACCCAGTCCTGGCTGCTGCTATGCAAGACGAGGATGAGGAGAGCAAGTGTTGAGATTGTTTTTTAAATTAGTTGAATATCATTTAGGCCGAGGTCTGCTTCGCTGGAAAAACTGGCAGATTTGGCGCAGCGCACCAGTGGCCATCTCCACGATGATTGATTGGAAGCTCGAAGGGGAGCCGAGGATGGTACAGAAGCCAGTATCTCGACGCTTCTGCGACAGGTGCCCGCCACTACCGCACGAGCGAATCCCGTTGTTTTCCCTGTATTTCCCCAACGTTTTGCACGATGATTCAGCTCGTGTGGTGGTGGTGGTATTCGTATGTTTCATAAGGCGCTTACGACTGATCTTATGTTCCTCCCAAAGTGCTGGCAGTTTCTCGTCCACTGGCCAAATCCAATAACGCTTTCACACCTTTTCAACTTTTTTAAGGATGCTGCTGAGCAACTGCGTGTTTGCGTACCATGTCTATCACTGCTTGAGAAGCGAGAACTGCAGATGGAAGCGCGCAATCCGCCGGCCCTGGTAGGAACCTTCGATCATGCTAATGGTTTGCTTAGGTATCCATCTACGAACGACTGATCATCCTACTAAACGAAATCTCAAACCTCTCGCCGGCCTACGCAAAGATGGCGTCCAGCATAAAGTAAACCATTCCGCTTTTCGAAATAATCTTCTAACAGTAACGGCGAAGCACTCTGGTCTCTCAGCTCGGCCGAGGAGATCCGCTCAAAATTGCGAGGAAGCAGCAAGAGATCGACTTGATCAGGTATTTTGTGGATTACCCCGTCGAAAACTATTGATTTAGCAAATCGATCGAGGGCGACGAAACCGAAAATATGGGATTCCGTGAGCGACAATTACGCAAAATATACGCTTTGTTGCTATACAAACACTTCAGGTAATCGGCTTCTTTGTGCTTCTTGGAATTGCGTTCTAGAATGTGATTTCCTAACATGCAAGGGCTCCCGACGGCTGAGAAATATGCTGAACTGGCTGAGCTTCACCGCCGAAAGGTGGCTCGACAAGTGTGATTTCTTTGTTAGTTTTTTTTCATCTTGCTTTTCATAGGTGGAAGAGCAACGTGCAATCGCTCAGCGGGCAGCGACTACGGCTGCGCGGGTTTGCACCATTGGCATGTCGTTGAACTGTGTTTAGGCAATCCGCTCGGACACATCGTCCCCGAAGCAATTCCTGCGGCAAAATGACCCAGCTCTCGTCTTTTATCGGTCGATCTGTTGATGATGGGTAGCGATTTATCTGCTTTCGATGATTTTCTGTTTTAGGTGGACTCCGGAACTGTCGCACAGTCTGCATAACAATCCTTTCGCCGAGCAGGTGGAGCAGAAGCATCCTCTCGAGGAGCAACGTGATATAATCAAAGGGTTTTGTTTCTAGAATAAACGCGCAACGTTACTCTTAGGTATTTGTCGCAAGCGGCCGCTGCCGGACGTCTGGAAGAGGTCGAAATGCTAGAACGAAACCTGCGTGATCTGGAGATTGCGATGCGCGAGCACCAAATCCATACCCCATAACTTATCTTCCTACTGCCCCTCGCCCCACCGCTACATATCATCCTGATGCTATTTATTCTGACAGATGCGCCACCCTTCCTAGTCAGCCCCTACTTTATTTTGCTCGATTTGCCAACGTTGCTTGAGGTTTTCTATGTTGCCCCGTACCTTCGTGCAATGTTGCATAAATGTTTTTGTTCCTGTGAGCTTAACTTCTGTGATAATCATCAATAAAACATCCGTGACAACAATATTGTACTGTATAGAAGCGGCTTTCACACCGTGTTATTTTTGGGTCACTTCTTCAATAACGAACGAACCAATGAATGGTACTTTCAGTTACAGAATGGCACCCCCGGAAAAGGATGATGCTGGCCGCAAGAAGAAGGAATCCATTGTTGACCTCTCGAGATTTATCGACAAGAAGGTGCGCGTCAAGTTTCAGGGAGGGAGAGAAGGTTGGTATTTTTAATCTTTCTGATCCTTGTTTAGCCATGGGCACGCTGAAGGGATACGATGCGCTACTTAATCTTGTGCTAGACGACGCGATTGAATATCTACGTGATGCTCCAGACAGTGAAAGGTTTGCTTTGATCGCTCATTTACTCTTTAGAATCTTGAGCTTGAAAATACAAAAAGCTTTAGGGTGACTGAAGATACACGATCGCTGGGCCTTATTGTTGGCCGCGGGACCGCCATCACGATCATCGCACCCGCCGACGGAATGGAACAAATCGCCAACCCCTTCGCAAATCCTGATGCAGAAGAATAAGACCTCTTCATCTACTGTTGTCCCATCTTTTTATTTCTACTTTGTCGATTCTATCAGTATCTGTGCCGGTTGTTTTACTGTTGATTTGATCTCTCACTTTTCCGGTAAAGTGTTGACTGACAATAAAAGGGATCATGCGCAGACACTTGCAGATGTTCAATTGTTTACTTACATATGTACACAATCAAATTGGGTTGGCAGACATCGAATGAGACGAGCGGAACGGGAAGGCCAAGGACTGGGGATTTGAGGGGTAAATGCGACCTGAATTGTTGGATCTCGGTACAGCTATGCTTGCGAGATTGGGTAAGACGAGTAATGGCTTTCGAATCAACTAGTCGTTATGGGTTGGATGAGAGGAAAAAGTAGCTTGGGAAAGCACAATGATGTTTGTGAAACACTTTAATACTCGGATGGCCTAGCGAAATCGTGGAGGGACGATCGCGCTAACCGAAGGCAGGTTGACTCGTGTAGACGACGTAGATGAAGCCGTCTGCGTCTTGGTCTTTCTATAGAGCTTTAGATGCCATCAAGTGGGAATAGGTTACCTGGTAGAGCTCGCTCATCGTCATCGAATTCGACACGACGGACTTCTCGTTGACCAACAGGAAGAAGGCTTGCTCCGGGTGGAGTTGAAGCCTAAATGTGGGTTGATTGTTTTTGACTTCAATTTTCCTTTTTTAGGACGTAGCTATTTGATGGCCTCACCTGCGACGGACGATATGCATCAGTTCGGCGACAGTGATATGGTCGGGCACCAGGAATTTGCACCGGTCCATCAGTGGCAAGCTTCGTTCGCCTAGACGGGGTTGAACAGGTGGGTTCCGGGGGTTATTGGTTGTAGATTTTTACTTTTCTACCCATTGTCGAGAAATATTCATCCCAACCTCGCGTCTGTTGATTAAACTCTCACCTTCAAATCGCTCAATGATCACTGGAATCTTGTTGGGCTGCTGCCTCTTGATTTCTTGGACGTCTTTTTCACGCGCATCTAGAAATAAGGATTGATTTCGCCACCATAACCTCGAATTTTCATTCTCGCTTGTCCACACTCATTAGCGGATCAGTTCTCCCCCAAAAAAACAGCCGCTCTTTCGGACGCGCATCGATCAATGCTGGGCGGTCAATGTTTTTTTTAGTGCCTGGCCAGCTGATCGGCAGCAGTTCTCTTCCTCTCCACTTTTGAACCCTCGCGGGAAAGTGAAATTATAGTGCGGCAAGCGATCGGCCGGGCTACTTGCGCAATAGAGTGATAAGAAACGCCTTTGAAGAAATCGATCAATACAGAGTCATCCTTGTCATTATTCAGGGGAAAAACGGGTTTTTAACAAAAAAAAAGCACTAAAAGGGGGCTAATATAGCACCAATAAAAAGCCGACACTTACGGAAGGGGCGGCGTTCCTTGAAGGTTGGGATATGGCCAGTATTCAACGCCATCCTGTTGACTGGCCGCAAGGCGTTCACTGCCGAGACGGCGGCGGACAGCTAGAAAGTAGGAATATTAGGTTTAGTGGATCTCCATTTCCATTCAAGGTTTTCTTTACCCACCGGTTGCTGTAGCGCCGTTGAAGCTGCTTCCCAGTTAATCGACTCCACCTGCAAGTCGATCATTAGGAGGATGACAAAAACTGGGACTCATTCCGTAAAAGCCAGAAAAATGCTTGGAAACGAAGCACGTCCCGATATAATCTTTTTCAAGTTCTCATTAACTTTACGATAATTTGAGGGCTAAAACTTTTCGCAAGACATTTTCGTGGCCTTTTTCCGTCAAATTGGGGGTTAGAATTCGCAGATAAGAAAGCGGAAGCATCCTCCAATTACCAATAATGTATAAAACTAACTTTGACGGCTTTCAGGTACGAGGCCTGGTGTTGAAGGGGTCGTGTGATGTCCCCTGACTTGCCCGGCAGCTCCCATTCTCTCTGACCAAGGGACCCCGCATGATTACCGTAGACACGCCGCCGCCCCGAGACCGCCCTCGTGTTGGCTTTCAAAGCACTAACGGCTACATCTACTCCAACTGCTCTACGTGGAAACCCCAGGCAATCCAAAAACTAGTGCGATACGCGAAGAATTTCGAGGAGATGAAAGTGAAAATAAAATGAGGCGAGAGCCCTCGTTTATAAGAAGAATCTCGGCCGCAGAAATGGGCCAGACCTCTGGCGGAAATGGTCTTTCATGGCAAAAAGTGGTCGTGCTCTGTTTGGCAGTTTCACTTGGAACACAGGTGGGTCCTGAAAACTATCATCACCTGACAAAGATCGTCTAAAAATAGGGATTGGGGAGCCACAACCTGCCTAAAATCTGAAAAGAAGTTACGAATTCTTTTCCAGTACCTTCTGCCAAAAGCTTACGACTTCCTGAAGGACGTTGCTTGTAATGTCGACATCTTCACGCCATTGTGCCCGGAGCCGTCACCAGCAGGCGAGGAGACAACCATTCCACCACGTCGACAACTTCCGAGAGGTCTGCGGCTGAAGATTGGGTATTCTGCCTACAATTCCAGCTAAAAACGTATTGATATAAAAAGAACGTTTCAGAGCTTCAATCGCAAGTCGTTGTTATTGAAGACCCGTTCCCCATCGAACTCTGGACCGACACCGAGCAATGGGGCGTCGTCAAGGCAAAACAGGAGGAGACTGAGGAATGTGAAGAGCCGGATCCAGCACAGGTTCAAGAAGCCCTAACGGCATTGAACCAAGCACGACTCAATCGCTACAACGGGAACCATAAGAAGGTAAGAAACAAAAACCCATCTAGGTGGTTTTAGGCAGCCACGATCATCGAGCACGCCCTGGCCCTCAACCCGAAGCATCCGGACATCTTGGTAGAGTACGGACTGCACCTCGAGACGAGCGAGCGGCTTTTGGAGGCGGATGGCTATTGCGTGAGAGCGTTGTCTGTCGACCCACGGCATTCAGAAGCATTGGCGTACGGCTATCTACTTCCCATTGTTATTTTCATTTAGTTGTCGCGAGAGAACCGAACCGCTTGTGTCGGCCTTGGATGAGAAGATGCTTCGCGATATTCGCCGCAAGCGGTAAGCGTTCTAGAAGAAGATAAAAGGAATTGTTTCAAGGGACAACTTTCTCGATCTCCCAAAAAGCGCAACGTTGCGGCGAGCGATGAGGGAGAGCTACTTCTCTCACATTTACCACACGGTGGCGATCGAGGGTAACACGCTGTCGCTCGGAGAGACCAGGTAAACTGGTGATAGGCAAAATGAAGAAGTAAAGTCCAGATCAATCCTCGAGTCTGGTATGCCGGTGCCCGGGAAGAGCATACGGGAGCATAATGAAGTGTTGGGCATGGACTCAGCCCTTCGTTTCCTCAACCGTTCACTCATCCACTTGGCCGACGTTACATTGGAGGTAGGGAAAGGCTAAGGATATGACATTCAAAAAAATAGGACATCCTGGAAATGCACCAACGTGTCCTCGGACACGCTCAGCCATTGGACGCCGGCCGACTTCGTGATACGCAAGTCTACGTAGGGAGGTGGGCTCTAAGAAATAAATAAAAAGCCCTTGTTAAATAAAGTCTACAGAATCTTTAGATTCACCCCGGTGGCACCGAAGTATGTGAAGGAGCAAATGCTCGAGTTAGTGGATTGGCTGAATGAGCCGTCGAATCAAGACATGGATCCGGTCCAGCTGGCCGCTATCGCCCACTATAAATTGGTACAGAATCTTACAATCTTGTCAGACTAAAATATAAATTTACAGGTCGTCGTCCACCCCTTCGTTGACGGGAATGGACGCACCGCCCGGCTGCTACTAAATCTTATTCTTATGAAGGCAGGTTTCCCGCCGGTGATCCTTCCAGTCAGCACGAGAGCAGAGTATTATGCTACGTTACAAACTGCAAATAATGGTGACCTGCGCCCCTTTGTTCGCTACGTGGCTAGGCATGTCGACAGGACGCTACAGGTGGGTCCAAACAGTGGAAAAACCCGGAGCTATCTTCAGACTTACATAAATCTTGTGTCAACGTGCCCGGAAGAGCCGTGTGCCGATCAGGGAGCCATCGAGGAGGAAACTGATGAATTTCGAACAATATCTTGATCGGGAACCGGACATTTCCGAAATTCAAACATGCCTGATAACCACCAATTTCTGTACATATTTAAAAGCCAAAACTACTACCCATACTGTTCTTAAATTTTTATAATTTTTTCGGGTCCTTCCATCGCTAGTCACTTTACCCCCAAACGCCTCACTTTTGCAATTTCCTTTCACGGGTTTTGGTGTGATAAACCGTCTTTACCATATCGAAAAAGGAAAATGCCACCTAGAAAATGGTAAAAAAGGAGTGAACATCACACAGGACTTAAATTAAAGCAAACAAATTTAACAAAAAGGAATGAAACCGATATGTGGCCGCTTATTTGCCTCCCTTCTTCTTGCCTTCCTTCGCCTTCTCCTCGTCGATGGGGGCCGGTTTGACGAATGGAATGAACTATAACGCAAGTTTTTAAAGTGTCCCGACGAATCCTTACCTCCTTGTATTGCGGAGGCATGTACGGGCGAAGAATTTCAGGCACGGTGATTCCCGTCTCGGTTTGATAGTTTTCGAGGAGGGCGCAGAGGACTCTTGTGGTTGCGCACATTGTTGCGTTCAGCATGTGCACGTAGGAGACCTGTAAAGGCACTAGAAAAATTGACTAAAATATACCAACCTCTCCGTCCAGTTTCTTCGTCTGTCCATAGCGGACCTTCAGCCGGCGCGCCTGGTAATCCAGACAATTCGAGCACGAGACCAATTCTCGGAAAGCACCCGAGCCCGGGAACCATGCCTCCAAGTCGAGCCTAAAGCCTATTAGAACACACATTGAATAATATCTTACTTTTTTCGAGGCAGCATTGTTCAGTTCGCCCGAGACAATGCATACCACATGGTACGGGATGCCGAGAAGCTGGCAATATTCCTCTGCGTTGCCGATCATCTGAAATCAATACTGTTAATTGCCAGGGTTCGATACCTCAGTGAACGCTTCCCACGATTTATTCTCAAAAGGCGACGTCAGGACAAATTGTTCGACTTTCTCGAACTGATGCACCCTAAAAACCATTGCCAGGATCAAGCATTTCCAAACCGGAAAATGCCACGCGTATCCCGTCCGTGGCTGCCCACTTCCTGGCGGAAACACGTCGAGAAACCAGCGTATTTGATCGGCAAATCGGTTTCCTTAAAAAAATAAATGAAGCAAGGAGCCGTCGCTTCACCTTTATCCATTCGTCCCTGTGGTAGGCGGCAATCGGTTGTTCTGCCGTTGCGATTAGATACTTTTTCATCAACAGTGGAATCGCCAGCAATTTCGGTTCCTTTTTCCCGATACCTAAAAAAAGTATTATTCTGGCTGATAGACCTTACTTTATATAGTTCATCGTCGAACTGACTCAGCTGGGCAACCTCTTGCATCACCTCCTTGCGCATGAAGAAGGGCGTATACAGGGGTGTATAGCCTTTCTTCGACAGCCTGAAAAAAACACATAATTAAATGTCACAAAAATACGTTTGCAGAGCGATTTGAATAATCGCCTGCTCCAGAAACACAAGTGGTCCTTTGAGAAAGTAGCCGCGTCCACCGGCCACTGTCGTTCCGCGATCACCATCAAACCCGTCAATCATCACAACCAAGTCAACCTAGCGGCATATCATGAATTTTGATTAAAGTAACTGACATGGCTGTACTTCTTTCGGCTGGTGATATCGCCGTACGTGTTCTCGACACGGTTGTTATCTTCGTTATCCGAGATCGGGACAGATTCGTGAACAAAGTTCCCGATCTAAACAAATATATTGGCTCTCTGATACAATTCATAATGTCCAACCTGAATTAGCGCTTGATGGCGATCATTCTCGAGCTTCTCCATGTTAATCTTCGTCTGGGCCATTCGCTCCTCCACCAATACACCCATTTTCTTCAACTGATTGACAGATACGCTGCCGAGCTCGTCAAGCTTCAACTCCTCCAGCCGGGCCAGAACCTGCTCGCCGACAGGCGCATCAGACCCAGGGCCTTCTTTCTTCTAAAAATGGCCAGATAAGTGATAAAAAAAGCCGCACCTTCATCTTCTCGCCAACAGCCTTGCTGAAAGTGTTCTTTTGGCGGTTCAAGCGATCGGCAGTGAAGCGCTCTGAAAAAACGTTAGCAAAAACTAAATTTTCGTACCTTTTCGCCATTGTTGATCAAGCTCAATGACCTTATCCACGAGAGCCGGGTCCTTGTAGCTAAAATTAGACTGTAATGAGAAACCAAAAGCTTAAAATACCGGTCTCGCTGCGATTTCCGGATCTTTTCCGGGTCGCCACCCTTTTCCTCGCGGAACAGGTCAATGTCGAGAACCATTTTCTAAAAATAACGTTTTGCTCATTCGAGTTTTGATAAAAAGACAGGGAAAAGCTTGAAAGTTTTACAAATAAAGTCGGTAATTTCCGCGTGTACGCCCCGTAAAGAGTGTCTCTCGTCCACGGCGCGCCGGCCTTTGCGGGGCAAAGCCGCCGCGGACTGCAAAAGAATTTGACTGACATTTGTTTTTCAAAATAAAATAGAATAAAATTATATACTTTATGTATTCGTTAAAGTATTTTAGCTGGAAGAGAAATTTTGATATTACTTCCTATAGCTTTCACCGGATTTTTCCCGCTTTCCTCATGCGCTGAAATTCTGATGCAACCATTTTCAGAGCACATGGCCTTACCTCCAGCCCTTCTCGCTCGACTACAGAAAAGAGGAATCGTTGGGAGAGGTTTGTTGGCATGAATTTATTAATTTTTGTTTAGATCCCAACGAGGAAGTCTTTGCGGAAGACTATGGAAGTGATGTGAAAGAGAAGAAGGTGGATGACAGAGAATTCGCGATCGGATGCCCTAATAAGTAAGTACCATCGGTTGTTTCGATATTTTTTTTCAGAAACAATCCATACCATGTTTGTGTCGAGTTCTGCTACGATCACTGGGGCGATGGACAACCGGAATCGCGGTAGCACAGCTTTTCCAGCGTAGACTTACCTTTTCAGGCTCAACGAAGAATACCTTTACCGCAAAAATCGTATGCTGACCAGATACCCGATACCCGAGCCCTGGGTTGAAGTCTACGATCCGGGCATGAAGAGGCATTACTATTGGAACCCGGAGAGCGATGAGGTTTTTGCTTCTTTGCTTCAAAAACTGAATTCTTTTAGGTATGTTGGCTTTCGCCACGCCATCCGAATGCGGTGATCGGAGAGGCTGCTCCGAAACTCGCACGTGAACGAGCTCATGGGGGCGGTGCTGACGATTCGAGGCCTCCAATGCCGCCACAGGCACCACTTTTTGATCAACGCGAGGCTTACAGGCAGTCGGTAAGCCTTTGACGAGCATTTTTCGCGCTTTATTGTACTCTATTTCCTAATTGCAATTTTCAGGAAGAAGCAAGACAGCGAGACCGCTATTCGGACCGGAATCGCGACCGTGAAAGGGACGACCGTCGAGACCGTGGCCGTGATCGTGATCGCCATGGCCGTGACCGTGAGAGGGATCGACGGCCGCCTCGAAGGGTATAATCTAAATTAAATTTGACCGACCTAATTTTAGAGCCCTGGCCAAAGTGATAGCGACGAAGGCAAAGAAGAAGAAGAACCCTCGGATCGCGACAGGCTGCGTGAGTTTTGTTTGGCTTGACATAACTCAATTTCAGGGCGCGCCACCCGCAAGGGCATCGACCCGATGGACCCAGCAGCGTACAGTGACATTTCCGTGTATGTTTTACGTTTCCAAACATTATATTCTTGTTTATAGTGGAAGATGGTCATCTGGACTCGTTGAAGACACGAAAACTGGCGTTGATACGACTGCTGGCGGCCCTCTCTTCCAACAACGTCCCTACCCGGCCCCCGGCGCGATTTTGGCTCGATCTGGAAAGAAGAGACCCGGAGATGATGATGATTGAGAATACATTAAACGTTTATTTATCGATTTTGATCTCGTATTTTATTGTTTTGTTGGAGGCGTTGCTCGGGAATAAAGTTTCGTTCAGACTAAAATGTGGTTACAAACACAGTATGCATGCTAGATACATTCGTTCTCTTTGCGGCTGGGGCTGCAGGGAAGAGCACCACTCGTCCGGGAATGATAAGTGGCGCCATCGTGGCTTTTTTATCACCCACTGACCCTAAGCCTTTTGTTGGGCGTAAAAAAGATTTGCGTTTCATCATCGTAGAGGGCTTTCCGAGCCAAATCGACGTCGCATAGGCCCATGTAACGAAATTTGCAGATAAAATGTGGTTTTAAAGCGCGCCAGGCTGTCAAGAAGAAGCCGATTTTTCTTGTTCTCACTTTGTAAATTCATACATTATTGTGTGTGATTTGAATTTAATGTATTTTTATGTTTCAGAAATGTTGAAAGAAGGTGCTGACGCCGCCAAAGAGCATTTAGTCGCCCTTCATGAAACGGCTGTCACGCACCTGAAGAAGGTAGTTTCATAATTTTAGTGTTGTAAATTCTTATTTTTATAGGTTGATCCAGTAGTGCTCGTGATCGGTACCATCGCCGGGACAATTGTCTACTTGAACACATACCGCCTGTATACCCGTTCAGAGAAACCGTTGCATAAAAGGTATTCTCCTCAGACACCTTTTTCATCTTTTTAGACTGGCCGCATGGGGTTTCCAGCAGTTTCGCAAGCTTCCCGCCGTTCGTCGCCGAATCGAGCAAGAGCTTGAGAAGCCAAAGATGGAGATTCTTGAAAGCATTCACAAGGACGACACTGATCGGCACTTTTATGCAGGTTGTTGTTTCTCACGCACGTTTTACGAGAATTACAGCCATTCCGGAAGACGCATTGTCGAGCGATCAAGTCTTGGATTTGGCTAGCAAGTAGGTTCCAAGTTTCTTGTGCATGTGCCTTTAGGTACGACGATTACGGCAAATTTGACGTTGCCCACGGCAAAGTGAGCGGTGCTGTGTACACAGATCGAACCGATGATCACTTGGACTTGTTGGCCAAGGTATTGTATTAAAGAAAGTTCAAATTTTTCTTTAGGTTTATAGAAAATATGCGTACAGCAACCCGCTGCATCCGGATGTTTTCCCGGGTGTCCGTAAGATGGAGGCCGAAGTGATTAGGATGGTGCGTTTTCAGGAATGAGCTCTAGACTGAATTTCGAGTTTTAGGTGATCAGCCTCTACCATGGTCCGGAAGACAGCTCGGGTTCGATGACTACTGGTGGAACGGAAAGTATCGTTTTGGCTTGCTTCGCCTACCGGTGATTTTTGGTTAAATTTAAATATTTGCGTTCAGGAACCGCGCCTACGCTCTTGGTAATGATGACCCAGTCATCCTATGCCCGATAACTGCTCATGCTGCTTTTGACAAGGTTTTGTTGCGTTGCACTAATTAATATTTCCATTTCAGGCTGCCAACCTTTGCGGAATGCGCATCCAGCACGTGCCCGTCGATGAGAATCAGCGTGTCGATGTGAAGGCTATGGAGCGGTTGATTGGCCGTCATACGTGCATGCTCGTCGGCTCGGCCCCCAATTTCCCATCCGGCACCGTGGATCCGATTCCCGAGATTGCCAAGGTTTGTGTCGACAAGCGGAAATTGCCTTTTTAATAGCTTTTTTCTCGTAACGACTAAATTTTAGCTCGGCGTCAAGTACGGTATCCCGGTGCACGTTGACGCCTGCCTCGGCGGATTCCTCGTTCCATTCATGAAGGAGGCCGGCTTTCCGTTGCCCGTCTTCGATTTTGGAAACCCGGGCGTTACGAGCATCTCCTGCGACACTCATAAGGTTTTCGTTTTTTGCTTTCCACAATTTTGCTTAGTATGGCTGCACGCCGAAGGGCTCGTCGATCGTGATGTACCGTAGCCACGAATTGCACCACTACCAATATTTCTCGATCCCAGAATGGGCGGGCGGCATCTACGCGACACCGACCATTTGTGGTTAGTTATTCTCTAAATGAGATTTGCTTATTTTGATTTGGCGGAAATTCATTTAGTCGAAATTTCAATCCTTTTTCGCTCGATTTTTCAGCGGAATGAAGTTTGCAAAATGATTTTCGACATATTAATGGAGCAATCAGGGAGATTTATTTTCTTGCAGGAAGCCGCGCTGGTGCGAATGCTGCTGTTGCCTGGGCCACACTGCTGTCGTTTGGCCGACAGAATTATATCACCCGCTGCAGAAAGATTGTTGAAAGTGCTAAACGGTTGGCTGACGGTATCCGTCTGATTCCTGGACTCGAGGTATGGATTTATGAATTGGTAAAGGCCGCTTTTTACAGCTTCACGGATCTCCCGACGTCTCCGTCGTTGCTTTCAAATCGACGGTCTTCAACGTATACGCCGTCGCCGATCGGATGACGAAGAAGGGCTATTCCCTCAACGCTCTGCAAAACCCCGATTCGTAAGCATCCCTTTCATCGTTCGTATTGTTGACTCTATAGTGTGCACATTTGCACGACGTTCAACCATGCGGACAGCGGGAAGATTGACGCCATTTTGGGGGATTTGCGGGCTGTCTGCCAGGAGGTGAACAGCCTCCCCGACAAGGGCAACGGCAGCGCTACGGTAGGTGTTTTAACGGGTTCGGCAATGATGGCTATGTGAGCGCAATCTCTAAAACGTTCAACCTTTTCACCCTCGTGATTTTGCTAATTTTCCGTTTCAGGCGGCTCTCTACGGTCTGGCTGCCGGCATCCCGGACAAGACGCTGGTCGACGAGATGACGGCCGCCTACATGGATGCGTGCTACGCGGCTCCACCGAAGCACTAGTGTGTGTAAATAGGCGTGTGTTCTTCCATTTTGGGATTTGTGATCGTTGACTGTGTATTCCAATGCTGTGATTTTATGCCGAGGATAAAAGTTGGCACTTGAGCAGTTGGGAAAAGACACAGGATTTCGTTCGAAAAACTACCGTAACTTAATTATAAATTTTTTCGCTACTTCGACGTTTCGTATTTTGGGTTTTGAATTTTAATATAATTTTGACAAAAAGAAACCCGGGGATATATATAAGAGCATTGCTCTTTTTTCAATAAGCCCTCGGGCAGGGGTTATCCTAGAGGAAAAAAATACGCTATTTTATACGTTTCGATAAATTTTTTGGGTATTGATCGATGTCGCCCATCCCACAAATGGTCTCCGCTGCTCTTCCCGTCAAAATCCTCGGTTTTCAGAATCCATCGACCAGCTGGCAGGCCTACCAGGGGTTTTGTACGAGTGGAAGAGTGGCTGGTGGTGGTGGGGGGCTGTGGCTCTGGACTGGGGGAACGGGTCACCCGCGACTCGAAGAACGCAGCCGGATGAGAGGGAGCAGACCGACATACAGACACGAAGGGGGGCCTCCACCTCGCGTCGCCTCCCCTATTGATGCGAGGCGCTCCAGGGGCTACCCACCACACATATTTCACCCATTTCCTCAACGTATTTCGCCCTGAATTTGCCCAATTTTTTGCTATAACGCTTTGTTGCAGGCATGCGGGTCCGGGACACCGGGCGGACGGGCCGTTCGACGCGCGCCACCGCCGAAAAGGTTTGTGCTTTTTGAATGCACCCCTTGCCGGGGGTGGGCCCCGGTGTTCGGCACCCCGCCGAAAATCGCCCCCAAGTGTACGAGTGGCTCGAAGCAAACTGAGGAGATACCTTTAGGAGAACAGATTGAGCTATTTGGGTTGATATTCGGCAAAAAATTAGACTTGAAAGGGTCGGTAGGGCAAAATATACAATTTGGGAAAGCCAGCCTTTCAAAATTTGGGGACTAATTCCGCTAGTTTTTAGTAAAAACTTTTTACTACCCCGCGATTTCGCATCACAATTTTTTAGCGAAAACTCGAAAGTCACGTGCTAACTTTTTGGACTTATTGGTCTCGTGTTATTTTTCTCAAATATTTAAATCTCAAAGGCAATTTTGAGGGATTCTGTAAAACTGATCCTGTAGGCGCTTTATTGGCGGTGTAGCGCAGCCAGAAAACTCTACCAAAGCTGATATTGTGGAAATCAGGCATTTATGAATTTAGGTGGCAAAGAAAGGTCGGGATGATGAGCGCAAGTCGAAGAGCAATAAACGACAGGCGCCGCGCCGAGCGCGATGTGAGTATTTTCAGAATTTTTCCTGACAGAGCATTAATTAGTGGAAAGTTCATCGGAAGATGAGGAGCCCTCAAGTTCCGCGCCTCAGCCCACCGAATATTTTACGTTTCTGACGAGGGTAATTTATCGATGCTCTTTGTCACATAATTGATGTTTTTAGGAAAAATGTCCGACGCTGAACAACTTTCTCTCGGCTTACGAGAAGCATCAAAAGAGCGAGCTGGAGGGCGATTTATTGGTAAGGCTTTTCGGATAGGGCAAGAGAATCTGTGCTTTTAGGCTGCCATCCAGCACGAGCTCGAGGCAATGGCTTCCCACGCCGCCGACTTCTCGCGGCATATCCAATTGGAGACTGCTTTTATGCAACGTGGCGTCTACCCACTGTCCGACACCTCACAAAGGCCCCTGCCCCAATTTCAATACAAGAGCACTTCGTTGGAATACTCGGATGATGAAGTAGATTTGTGAGTTGTAAGATTTGGCTTACTTTTAGTTTTCCTACATTCTTTTTTACTGAAAAAGCTTATTTTTTGTTTTCTCGACATCAAAATTTTTGCGTTTATTTGGGAAACGCTTCTTCAAGCTTCTTACCACCTCGGTGGCTGCGGTAGGATTGTCAGAGCAGCCTGATTTTAAGCAAGAAGAATTTTGGAACAAGTGGACGAAATTCGTGGAATTTTTCGAGAACCCATAAAATTAAATTGCCTTCTCAAAAACCAACAATAGAATTCGGTCCTTCAGGTTTGCCGCCGCCCCGGAAGTGCCAAAGGAGCCGGAAGATCAGCTCGACAATTGGCCGCCAGAACATGTGGCTAAGCGGTAAAAAATCTATTTAGGGAAAATCAATAATCTACTTAGGTTCTGGACGTGGTGCAAGCATGATTTTCTCAAGCCGATTGATGACAAATTTCTAAAGGCGTTCCGGCAAAGCTTTATGGATCCTTACTCTGAGGAAACCTGCTCGCAATTATTGGTGAATGGTAGGTTTCGACAAATTTTTCTAATTTTTGCTTTGCAGAGCCCTGGAAACACCGAGTGAAGGCGAAAAAGGAGACGCCGAAAGCGAAGAAGCATGCAAAGTGTAATTATTGATAAATTGAGGCAATTTGGACGTTTTAGTGGCCCGTCGGAGATCATCAACTAACGGTCATAGGGACGTCAAGAAGGAGGAGAGTGAGGATGAAAGGATTTCGCCCCTCAGAGGGTATGAAAACCCTTCTGGAACATTCAATATTTTTAGGCATCAAAATCCGGAAACGAGTCTACAGCTCGTCACAAATATCCTCAAAGCATACGCCGATGAATACAGTAAGTAAAACATCAAAAAGCTTATGAATTTCTCAATATAGCACAATTTTTATTAATTTGTTTTAGAAGTCAATGGTGATTACGATGAGGGGCGCCTGAAGCTTCACCTTTCCAGCCTCAAGCGCGAAGCCAACGGCAACGGACTGCACCCGGATATGGAAGAGGATAGCGATTTCGAGCCTCTGATCGAAAAGGTACGTTTGACGCCGCGTTTTGCGACTACGTTTGCGACTCCAATTAAAATGGGTTTTAGAGCAACGGGGTCCACGCAAACGGGCACAACGGGACAAACGGCTTCTCGAATGGCGGTCTGGATTCGAGTGAGAGCGAGGGGGAGAACGATGAGGTCGGTTATTTCTAGTTTATTCTATCATTTATTCTATTTAAAAATCGTTAAGGTACTTCTTATTATTTATTGGCTTCAGATTCCGCTTTTTCAGCCGGCCTGCTCCCCAAAATGGACAAACGGCCACGCGATACCGGTTACCAAGAATGACATTTCAAACGGCGGCTCCATCAGGTGGGAATATGACATTTATATAATTTTTTTTCCTTGCAGAAAACGCCGGGAAACCGTTGAAGATTGTGTCGAGGAAATGGAACGCGATACGCTGAAAGAGGCCGGCCGATCGATCATCAAGCATTTGACTCAATTGGGTAAGGATTGGGTCGATTTTAGGAGCTTTTTGTAGGATTTTTCTGTAAATTTCTGTTGCATCACTAAACTTTTTTTTGTAGGAATCACACAAGAAGATGCGCCCGAAATTTTCGACCTGAGTATACGTTGTGAGGGGCTGCCGACAAGCGAACCTGGGCCCAGCGTTAGTCAAAAAGGCCGTAAAGATGATGAACCGATGGTTTGTCTTGAGCTTCCGGCTCTGATCTACTTTTTTGCAGGATGAGATCTCGATCCGGTTGATGTTGGCGCAAAAGGAGATGCTTGAAGCTGTCATGGATGTTGGTTTTCTAGTGAAAAAGTTATATTTGTTTAGTACCGCAAAGCGGCCAATAACGTCCACGGGATTCTGGAGAGCGAATATGTGTATCGTGAATTGAAAAGTGATCTCGACAAAGCCGACGATGAGGTTTAGTTTTTTAGCTTTTTTAATCGTTCGAATAATTTAGTTGATACGTCTGGGATCGTTGTGCTTCCGGGAACCACCATTGCCCCGCCGGGTGGCAAATCAGACCGATATGGCCGTGCTGACCCATGCCAAGCAGGCTAGGTGCGTTTTTGGGTTCGATGATAATTCGGAATTATTTATTTCCCGCGTTTATTTTTATTTTCATGATTTGAAGATTATTTTAAAAAGATTTTTTTTAGAAATCGTGCTGCTTCCTTACTTTATGGCCCTCAACACCGCGAAGTTAAATGGCACCATATTGATAGATTAAAATCGAAACACCGTAATCTGCGGGATACTCATCCGGAGTCTTCACGACCAAAGTCAAGCTTGGCTCGAGTGCCGGAAGGAGATCCGTATGAGATCACCGACGGGGATTATTCACCGCAAAGCACAAAGGTAATTCAAAGATTCTGATAAATAAATGATTTCTAGGACACCGATGAATCATTCATCGCCGACGCACCGAAAGTGATTGCTAAGCGAGGTATAAAACTCGTAGTTGAGGAAATGACCACAATTTAGCCCCCAAGACCATCATCGAATCTGACTCGGAGCCGGATGAGAAAATGGAAGTCGACGAAGAGGAAGAAGAAATTGAAGACACTCCCAGAATAAGCCGAAGAGCCTCTAGGCATCAAAAGGTGCGTGTTTCGCTTCATTGTCTAAATTGGCTTTTTCAGTCAATATCGCCAAAGCGCTCCACGCCACGCCTGAAGCTACGCGTAAAAACGGTGAGGTTTTAGCAGTTAGTTTTGATGTTGTGTGGTCGCTTTTCAGGCTCCAGTAATCCCATACTCTGATGAGGATTAGAGCTCGGGAAACGGTCGTTTTTGTAAGTGTGTGTGCCCACCAGGATTTATAATTTTCGGGTTGCGGCCGGTGGATTAACCCTGGGTGGTGTCTAACACTAAATTCCAGGTTCTGGGCTGGTAGCGGGGGGGGGAGGTTGAAAGCCTCGACTTATCGCGCCGATGATCTTCTAATTACATCGGTACCATTTTTTTGCTTTTTACGCCTTTAATTATAGTGAGTTCCTAAAAAAATATGAATTTTTTCACGTTTTTAAATTTTTTGAAGTTTCTAAAAATGTTTAAATCTTCTAAAAATGTTAAAAACTCTATAAAATACATTACAAAACTAAAAATTCATTGGTGAGAACGGGCTAGATACCCCCCCCCCCACTAACACCCCAGTACCGCTTTCGACTTCTGCCTATCTGGCCGCTTGTCGTGAAGAGGCACTGTTGAATTTCTTGTTTACCGATGGGCGACGGTGTAAAATATTGACGCCCAGGCGCTTCACGGTGTCCCATAAAAGTCCTGATAAGGGTGGCGGCTTTAGGTGAATACCATTTGCAAGGGCACCTTCTTACTTTAAATCGGCCTACCCGGGGCGATACGGTTGAACTAACCTGGTTCCCACTACGATCACCACCCCCTTTAAAACACCTGCACCACCTACACGCCGCCCTTCAAAAGCTATATCAATAATTTTCAGGGCCGTCGCTAAGAAACTCGACGTCGGGTTGTCCCGCCGAAGCGTCGGGCCTCCATTGTTCATTTCATTTTTCTTGTTGCCATTCGCCACCCTTTTAGCCCTGCAAATCCCGCGTCTCTTTCGTGACATTAAACTAGACGGTTTTCCCCATGAAACTTGTCAATACTATCTATTAGGTTGCTCATTGTTCCCAATTCTGACCCAAATCTGTGAGATTTACTTCAGTGCAAGCCTCCGAACTCCACACCCTCCATTCACTTCAACGTATACCTCTAATAAGAAATAACCTCTCTACCCACCTGACAAACAAACAAACAAATATTGGTGCTTTCGGTAATTTTTAAACTTTTAAATGGACGGGCGTTTCGAAAAGCCTTTAAAAAGTTTCGTTTTGATCCAATAAATCCCCCGTCCATTTAAGGCTTATCTTTTTTTATTCATCTCCACCGCTCTGGGCTTTATTCTAAAATATTTTTCTTTTCCACCCCGTTTTTTCATGTACGGTAGCTTCTACGCGTCTTTTCCGATTACCGCGTCAACTTTCAACCGGGATCCCTCTTATTTTGTATGCAGCCACCGACCCTCCATGTATTGGTAATTCCGCCCCCATTTTCTGTACAAATTGGGTTTGATGTATTTTGTATTTTGCGCCTATTTTTCTATTGTTTGTGAATGAATTGAGCTTTTCCTTATTTCTTCCAATGACTTGTCAGGATAATAAATTGTGACCATCTTTTTCGACACGTTTTTACGCGCAAGGGGGTTGCACGCAAAAAGCTATCTGTATTATAATGCTACTTTAATTTTTATGAGATTACGATCGATTCAGCCAGTCAGAATGGGCGGTGAAGTGCGAATAGCTTGGCTTATCCTCGGCTGCTTGCTCTTGCTCCGGGCAGGTGAGTAGCTGATTTTTCGATTGTACGGTTGCTAAAGCAAGAGGGTATACCAAAAATCCAATACCAAAAAACGGCAAAGAATCGGCGGTTTCCAGAAACTCCTTCTCAATCCCCTCCGAATGTTGGCACAAAGCCAATCATCTACAAAAAGGGCATGGAGCTCCCGGAGACATTGCCAAAGCCGGAACAGGACAAGGTTTCGCAGCCTCTTCTCGGAAGTACGAAGTAATTTAGCCAAAATCTGATACGCCCGACTCGGCGCCGATCATCTACAAGAAGGAAGACACAGGTAGGTGAAAAAATTTTCAGCTTCAAACCGACTGGATACGGGAACCATGACTTGTCTTTTTAGTAAAAGTAGAGCAGCCTCTAACCGCTACAGTCGCGCCAAAGATTGATCCAAAGGTACGCTTTTTAGAAAAACGCACCTATTGTTTTATAGGACAACGATAAGGGCCCAAAAATCGAGCCGAAGGTCGAGATCGTCAAAACGGAGCCGGTAAGCCAACGAAAAATAAATAAGAAAATATTTAGACAACGCACGCTGCTGAAACAACTGCGGCTCCGAAACAGGAGAGCAAAAAACAAGAAGAGGACGTGAGTCAAAACTTATAACCCCATAGCAATTATTTAGTACCTCTCCGACGATCAGAAGCCGGATGTTGAGGAGGGGAAAGATGATAAGGAGGAGGAACAGGTTACGAGGAAGGCTTACTTAAAAACTAGAGAAATTTAGCAACCCGAGCCCATCCAAGCGATTGACGAGGAGTCGAATGAGGAATTGGCCAAGTCGACGAAAGAAAAAAGTTAAAGAAACCAAGGTGAGGGAATGCTTGCTTGAATCAAAGCTTTACTTCGTTTTTAGAAAGCCCAGCGGCTCAACTATGAGCCGGAGAGCCAGGACGGCCATTTTATGGGCTGGATGATCTTCTTGCTGTTGCTTGTCGTCATCGGATACGTGGTGATGCACAACAAGCGCAAGTTGCTCGGTGAGTTTGAGTTTTTGATTTTTCTATGGCTAACATGAATTAGTTGTTCTTTTGTATTATCGGGGGGGGGGGGGGGGGAGAGGCTGAATTTTGTCCAGAAATGTCTAGAAATGCCTAGTAATCTTATAAGAATCATTTTAATAGTATTTTTTAGTAAAATTTACAAAATTTCAAGTCAGAAACAGAAACAATGAAAAACTAAGAAAAAATTTTTCGTCGAAATTTGATCATTTTACGTCGAAAAACCTATATTTTTATATTTTTAACAAAAATTTGTGAAGGTTACGTTAGAACGTTTTCTATATTTTTTGGCATAATTTTTCATATAGGTTAGATTTATATGTTTCCAGGCTTCGCTTTCGAGGGTCGCTCAACTCGTCGGGGTTCCTCACGCGGCGGCGGCGCCAGATACCGCCGGCTCAGCCAGCAGGAACCGGAAAGTGTAATCTACTAAAAATATACAGTTTATTAAACTCCCAGTGTATTTCCCCCCCGAATACGTGTCATCTACCACCGAATTTTACTTCTACAGGGTGGGCAAAAAAAAAAGATCCGAGTTTGGGTCAAAATATCTTGCGAACGATAGAGAATCGAAGGTACGTTACCATGCCAGAATGCTTAAATATGCTGGGTATGAAGATTTAACACAACTTGATTTTTTCGATTTTTGAGTACGAAACTGTACTATTGACGCTGGTTACGACCGAAAATTGTGCGTTCTTGAACGGGTGGTGGGAAAATTCTGATTTTTGGCCCAAAAATAGTATAAATTTGGAGAAAGGTAATAGCAAAGTCTTAGAATTTTTCGAGGTCTGTTTCATTTTTTAAAAGCAAAACAATTTTCGCGATTTTGCGTTATTTTCTTCTTTAAGTGATAACTCGCTTCTAACTCACTGCCCATGGCTGCTTTTTTGCCAATGAATTATCCAAATAATAATCTAGGATCCCACACCAGAGCCCACCATAATCTATGGTATTTTTGTATTGCTTGCTAAAACGTGCCCCAGCGGGGTACTGTAGGTTTCGTTTTTCCCGCTTTTCTCGGCTCCCCTAGCTTCGATCCGACTGAAATTTTCAGGGTGGTTAGGCAATCGGTTGTGGCACATTGCTGCCGAATACGAGAACGTACTATCCACAAACGTTCAGGAAAAAGACCAAAAACTGATTTTCTAGTTCCGCCACAGAATTTTGTAAATTTTTTGGTCAGTTGTACCAAAAACTGTTATTATTGCATTTACCGAAAGATCGAAGCGATTCCATGGCAAAAACACCACGAAAATCGCGAATTTCGGTTTTCTACAGTAACCCCCGTGGAGCGCGTTTTAGCATGCCATCGCAAAATTCCATAAATTGACGGTTTTTCAATTCGAGGACCTTCTAGAGGTGATTGTAAGATAGCCTGTCAAAAATTACTGATTTTGGGTGGGAAATAACAAAGTTAGGGGGCCAAGTGCAAAACAAGGCCAGAGAGCCGATTTTGGGTCCGAGTATCCGGGTCAATTTTCGAATTTTTAAAAATAAAAAAACCAGCTGGGCCTTATGGATACGATTATAGTTTTGATGTTATTATTTGCGCCTGTCAAATTCCGAAGCAATCTGATTCAAAATTATGGTGACTTTCAGCTCTCAATCGAAAATCACCCTGTTCCAAAATCGAAGTTTAAAATTCGTCTTAAAATTTTTTCGTCGCGAGATTGTTTTAATCTTTGCATAGTTTTATTCAACTAATAGCACAAAATTAATGCTGAAAATATGCTGGCGACTCCACCTTCCAAAAATTTTTTACGCCCCCCTCGAATTCGGTTTATTTCGGGTTTTGATGAATTTTCTTGTCGCCAACGGGTCAAATAAATTCAAGAACCTGGCTTTAGGATGCGCTATTCAAATAATATCAGCTAAAATTAAAATGACAATTTTCATAACGCTGTTAAAATCTATAAAATGGTAGCAAGGTTTCGAAAAAAAGCACGAACCAACCGTTTTGGAGGCCCTAAAAGACGCCCCTCCAAAGGGGTACGGTAGCTCGAAATTTTGCAGATGATTGATAAACCCCAGTCCTACACAGCTAAGCAAAAAAAATAGCTGAGTCCCCTTTGGCAATTTAGAAATATTTTTCCAAAGTTCGGTTTCGAGACCTCGAAAAATCCATGACCCGGGGGTCGTTGAAAAACTCGAAAATTCATCGATCTCGAAAATTTTTTTAAGCGTGTTTATGCGGTTGTATAGGGTCCGTAGTTATTCTACAACAACTTATTCTGATGTTTTGGCCATAGGTTTTTGTAATTTTCGAAATTTACGAAATTTCCCCATACAAAATTTCATTCCTATATAACTTGTCAACCAGACCCTAAAAAATTCTTAAATTTTGTAGGTACATATCCGCGGCCTATATTAACTTACTTAATAAAAATTAGATGTCAGCCACCACAGGAAAGTGAGAAAAATACAAATGAAGTTTCCCCGAACGCACAGTTTTCGGGTGTCATTTGTATTGATACGTCGCCAAAAATCGAAAAAATCAAGTTGTGTTAAATCTTCATACCCAGCATATTTAAGCATTCTGGCATGGTAACGTACCTTCGATTCTCTACCGTTCGCGAGATATTTTGACCCAAACTCGGATCTTTTTTTTTTGCCCACCCTGTAAATAAGCCAGCTACCTAACCCTTTCATTTCCGCCCCACCTAGCCGGTTAGATCATATTGAAGCCAACTGATGCCACCCTTTTTTGATGAATTTTCTACTCCCTTGCCTCTCTCAGCGATTGTGTTATCCACCACCCCGAAATGTGCCTTCACTTCCAGCAATGTAATTCCCTGCAATCGTCGCTCCATTTTTTGGGCATACCCGGGTCTTTTCGCGTTATTGGTTACTCGCGTTTCTTTAGAAGAGATAAAGCTTTAATTTTTGGGAGACGACAAATTCACGTGAGAAAGAGACAACAACAGTGCATAAGGCGAAAGCCACGAGCCCAATTCTCGGACTAAAATTTAGCGAAAGGCGTGGGATGGTCGCACAGTAACTAGTCGCGAAAACGTGCAAAATCATAGGACGAAAAACCGGCAGGCTTTTGCCGAAAGGATCCGAGACGGAGAGACGGTATGTTATAGCGGATATAAATATGCAAGCTTTTCGGTAACAATTTTCGAACATTTTGGGCTTTTTGGTCAAAATGTTTGAAAAATACCCAAAACGGTCAAAATGTTGGAATTTTCAAAATTCAATGAAAAATTATTAAACACACTATATATGCAACAGAACGTCTAGACCGCCTCCAGAAGTGCACAATTTTTCGAGAAGAAATTACAGGAACTAGGAAACTTTCGCGACTGCTACACTTTGAGGGCTTTTGACGCTTTTTGGCAAAAGGGCACTTTTTTTGGCACACTTTTTGGCGGCCGTTCGGCTTTCGGCCATTTCTTTAGCTGTATGTCAGCCCTTTCCATTTTTCACTCGTACTTCTGCATTTCTACTTTCTGCTCTGATGAGTTGCAATCAACCGCCTACCGTGTGAACTACGCGCCTCGCTCTCACCACAATTATCTGGTTGCACCCGAAACGGACTAGCGAAATAGTACTTGATTTTCACGCGCTAATTTTTGTTTGCGGGCAGGTCATTCTTGGGGCAAAGGAAGTGAGTGATCGATTCCAGAAGTGGTCGTTGAAATTGCGAGCCCATTTCGATGACGAGAATTCTCGGTAGACCGGAAAAATGTGGCATGTGCATCAATGCACCTCTAGTTTAGAATTTTTTTGTAATAATAAGCGTGTTGTTGCCCGACTCATCGCCGCGGAAAACTTTTTTGCACTTGGCGTTAGGCCTGTCTGGCGTTGCTTTTGACGAGAATATGCATATTTTTCGCCTTCCCATTTCGGAGTCTGCTGTTGTTGTTAATTTTTGTGTAAATTTAGCTAAAGAAAACGCTGATTTGCGGAAAATGCGCCGAGCTGACAGCGTCAAGATGTGCGGCGTACCACGTCGTTCTCGATTAGTTCTTATTTTGACCATGTTTGGTCATTTTTCCAAGAAGTCAAAAATCTTCGAAAATTTTTATAAGTTTTTGTGTAAAATGCCATAAAAATCGGTTATACTTTGTTATAGGGACGTCCGGGATTGCTTGGACCCCTCCCCCGCTAAGGAACTAGCACCCATTAGTTTCCTGATCATTGGACAGTTTTTGTGACGCATCAGTAGACTACATTTCTTTACGCGGCCACCGCGTCCGATTATTCCACGGCCACGCACTTCTAAAGACTTCTAAAGCGAGAATTTTCAAAAGGCAATTCTCCTCAAAATCTGCGGCGAACCCCGGCGAACAATCCGCCGTTTGTACAGCCTGTTTTGCTGGTTGTTGAACCGGATAACGGGCTATTCAAATGGTGGCATGGAATTTCAGATATCGCGAACTCGGAGCTGTCGCACGCGGATTAGGGCGTTCTTTAAAGGGGGTAGGCGACCAAGATGGGTGGCCAGACAGCCGGCTTCCGGAAGTCCCAGCCAGCAATGGCCAACACGACGGCATACTGTAGCCGCGAGGATCCGACGGCGTTTTAGTGAGTTTATTTTTTAAGCTGCAGAATTGGCCTGTTCTCTGGGTTAGAAGGGGAAAAAGCAACTAGCGCATCGGGTTAACGCGTGCAATGGAGCTTTTCGTAGTGCAACCGGAAAACTAGTTTCTGCAATCGAAATTTTGATTTTTCCTTTTTTTCGGGTAAAATTGGAGTAAAACTAAAAAACTAAAGCATCCGCTTTTTGGCATATTCTTGCCCTTTAGGCCTGTTTTCACACTTTACAACGAAAAAGCGCAATTAGGCTTGCAAAACGGTGGGCTTTCCGCGCCAAACAGGAAGTTTTCGCGCGCCTATAACCTTTTTCTGATAGTCCTGTGCTTTGGTTTGCAAAAAATTAAGGGATTTATCGGAACAACAAAATCGGCCCCCAAGGACCGTTGTTTTTCATGGCCGATAAAAATTACTGCGCCCATAATTGGATCAACAATGATATTAACTTTGGGATTTACATTAGGTGGTGTCTAGGGGAGAGATCGGCACCAAGGAACAAAGGCGAATTCAGAATTTAGAGAGCGGAAACGTATCACATGTTAGAGTTTCGCGATAAGTTTTGGCTAAGAAAGCTAAAAATTAAACTCGTAACTCCCGATTTTGCAGCATGATCCACGACTACCAGATTGCCGGTCTCATCATTTTTGTGGTATAATTTTTGTTGTGACTCGAAAGTCTAGAAAAATTAGCTAAATCCATATCAATTTGTTGAGTATCGAAAGTATGCTTTAGGTCGGTTTCTGCGGCGCCACGGCCAATTACACAGTCGTGTTCCTGATTGACAAGGTGTTCTCAGTTCTGTTACGGTAACTCGGATGCCATTTAGGTGTCAAGCCTGCAAAACGCGTTCGGCCGTCTGACGCTGAATCAAGCGATTGGAGAGGCCGTTCATCTCACCGTCTTCACGTTCTACTTCGCGCCAACCGTGTTTTTGTAAGTATTTTGTTTTTTTTTATTTTTATTACGTTTATTTAGTGATATAAAGCTGTTGAAGTCACCGGAAATTTCGCGGATATTTGGGCATATAAACTTGATTTGCTATGATATATGTATCTACAGGTTCGTCTAACGATCATTTTTGTCTTTTGAAATTTGTTAAACTAAAGAACAAAGGTTTCTAAATCGATTTTGCAGCCATCTCGTCATCTCTATCAACCGTCTGACGGCCATCTACTTCCCCTTCAAATACAACATTGTCTTCAGCGAGACGAACGTCCGGATTACGGTCATTGTCATCTGGATATTGGCCGTTTTGCCCACATTCTATCTGTATATCATTGGTGAGTCGAGGGTAGCTTACTTTGGTTTTTGCTCGCTTAAAAACCAGTGCAAATCATTATAGAGGATTGCCGCTTCATCTATTCCGACGACTTTTGGAACTTTACGTTCACCAATTCACCTGCTTGCGCGTTCATTACCTGGTTTTTCGGGTTGTAAATCCTTACATACCCTCAATAGGTACACCGATTTCTTGAAGTACGTCTCCACCGTCGCGCTGATCGCCTTTTTGGATATTATCACGTTTGCTAAAGTGCGTTTCTCTACGAGCAAGGTGGGTAAAAAAGGAGATTACATTTTCAAGCAGACTCACGCTGCAAAAAAAAGAGTTCTAGGTCTCGATAAGTGACGCAGCGGCGCGGAAGAAACGCCATGATGAGATCAATTTCGTGAAACAGGTAATTTCTCAGGTACTTGGGTCCACCCGAAATCCGGTCGGCATCTGCTCGCGAAATCGATCGGAATTCCAGTAGCGGACGCGACCGGATTCCACGTGGAAATCGACCGGATTGCGGGTGGATGCACGGTAAATCAGTTGGAAATCGACCGGATCCGCCCGGTTTCCACTCGATTTCCACTTGCCGCGTAGCGTGCGGCACGCGTTGCGTCGTGTTTCCACTCGATTTCCTGTGCGTCCACCCGAAATCCAGCCGATTTCCATGCGTTCCACCCCAAATCCAGGTGGAATACAACCGGATTTTGGGTGGACCCGAGGACCTGAGTTTAATGCGTTTTGATAATTCAATAAACGGAGAGCATAGTTTTTGTATATTTTAACCCCTTTGCCGTTCTTTCGCATTATCGGGGGAGGGGGCAGAAATTGGTTAATAGCATATTTTTGAGGAGAAAATCAATCTAAAAACTGCGAAAAAAATTTATAAAGTCGAAATTTTGGCATATAAAAAGTAAACAATTCTGGTCGAGAAATTTATATTTTTTGTATTTTTAATAGAAATTTCTCGAGTTTTTACGTCTAGAATAACAAAAAAAAGTTAAAAACTCTTCAGGTATTTATATTTCAAAAATTTGAATGCGAAAGAACCGATTTTTTTCGTTTTAGGTGTGCCTGCAGGGCGTGGTGTTCGTGCTGGAGTTGAACACGTACTTTATCATCGTCAACTACGTGGAGGGGAAGTGGAACAAGTTCTTCCTGACGACGTTCGCTTGGGAGATGGTGCACAGCTGTGACGGGTTAGTTGCAAAAGATGAAGCTTGTAGCTGCTCGGGTTTTAGGTACATCACGTTGCTGTTCAACAAGGGCTTCTTCCGCGTCATCCGCTCCCGAATTCAGACTTATGGATCGACAGACACCCAGCATCCGGTGACAATCGAAAAGCACAGCACACAACATTGAGGAAAAATAAAGCGAAAATCAAAAATCAAAGGCACACATAAAAATCGTAAGTTTATTCAAGGAAGGAGAGTGAATGAAAGTTCTTTTCGATCATGATAAGCAATTTTACATTTTCCTTCACACGCATCGAGTAGTTGTCGCCAAAAAGTAGAGGGGGAGGGGGGCAGATCACTTGTCTAAGTCGATGCCGATCGCCTGCGAGAGGGCACACTTGGCGGCCGGGCGGTTGCCACGACGGCAGAATTTCTCGAGGGCCTCGCGAATCTGGAGACGGTTTCTTTGCTTGTTGCCTTATTTCGAAGGTGAAAGATTTTCGGTACTGGGCTGATAGCGGGGGCACCAAACTTTTTCCAGTAAAAGCGTGCGGCTCTATCACGAAAAACAACCAGTTTTCTGATATTTTACACAGTTTTCAGATCTAAAAAACTCCAAAAAATGTAAAATTTTTTGACTTTTTGCTCAAAACTATGAAAAATTACCAATTTTTCGAATTTTCCAGAATTCGTTAAATTTTTACAACGTTCTGCAATCAAAAACCACTAAAAATACAAACGGAAACAGGTAAAAAAGGAATTTGGTCCCCTGCTATCCCCCCCCCCCCCCCGGTAACAGTCCAGTTCCGCTGGACCTGCACCGCGACATTAAAATATGATTTTCCACCCACCTCACCCATCGTCGATCGCTCTTCCGGGTTTTCGGGGAAGCACTTCTTGCGCATCACGTCGCGGGCGATGATCGGCATCATGTCGGGGTCGGGCAGGCGATTCCCCTCTCGAACCTGGCAAATGGGCCCTTCAAAACGGGGCGCAAGGCACTTACGTAAATATTAACTTCTTGCACGGTCATGCCCGGGTAGGGGATGGCCCCGTTCTCGAACACCTCCCACATCAGCACCCCAAACGAGTAGACGTCCGTCTTCGTCGTGTAGGTGCGCTCCTGTGAATAATTTGGTTCTTTAGGATTCCCGGGGGGGGGAAAGTATTCCCGGGGGGGGGGGGAAACCAAATTTTTTTCGGCGAAAGCCTAGATTTTTGTATAAATTGCGGATGCGTTTCTAAATTGTTTTTAACTATTCCTGTGCATAAAAACTAATACACATTTTAACCAAAAAAATGTAAAAAATTAAAAATTAGGTCGAAAAATAGACCCAAAATGACCAAATTTTCGACTTTTTCAAACATTTTTCTACATTTTTCTGAAAGTTATTCTGCTTTAAATATAGTTAAAACTTACTAAAAACAATTCGAAAACACTTTATATTTGATTACTAGGTCAACCGGGACCACCAGGAAAAAAATTTGGTTTCCCCCCCCCCGGGAATACTTTCCCCCCCCCCGGGAATCCTAAAGAACCAATAATTTTTGTATGATTTGTTAGCCTTCAAAATATGTTCAAAAATTGCTCATCGTCTACCCTGAGCGTTTCCGGGGCCAGCCACCGGATCGGCAGCCGCTGGTGCAGATCTTTTAGCTTGTAGCGCGCCTCGCGGTTGCTCATCTCGCGCGACAGGCCAAAATCGGAGATTTTGACGCGCCCGCCGGAGACGAGACAGTTTCTGGAAAGTGCGACTTGTGGTTCTTTCTCAGTACCGGGTGGGGGGCAAATTTTCTCTACAAGTCCAGCAATTCTAGTAACGCCATAGTAAGTATTTTCATAACGTTTTTAATAAAAATAGCGATTTTCCAAGTGGAAAAAAAGGTAAAAAAACATCGTCCCCCGATAATGCGAAAGAACAAAATTTGGGCGAAATTTCGAACCGAGCAGCGACATCCCGGTGAATGCAGCCTCGTTCGTGCAGGTACTCCCAGGCCGCCGGCAGCGTCGAAGCACATGTAGAGCTAGAAGAAAAGTAATCCCACTAAAATTTCGGTCAAACCTTTGTCTTGGAGGAAATATCAGTGCCGTTCTTGGTCAGGTACGAATCGAGAGCACCACCATCCACCAGCTCCATCACCAGCATGATCGGTTCTAAAATAAACGCTAAAAAACCCCTGCATAACCGTTACCGGTGGCAATGGCCACCCCGAAAAACTTGACAATGTTCTTGTGCTCGTAGCGGCGCATGATCCGGGCCTCCTTGCATATCTCTTTGATCAGCTGAAAGGGTTGTTTAGATTTTTCAGATTCAGAGTTACATTCTTGGTCATCTGCTTGCCCTTGTGCACCTTGACGGCGACGTCGACCTGAAAGAAGTTTGTTGAAAATCAGCGTAACTACCGTTGTGCCATCATTGCAAACCATCTCTCCCGCGTACACGCCGCCGAACGCGCCCTCGCCGAGCAGTTTGCCGAGCTTGATCTGGAAAGTGCTAGGTTAACTTTTTTCCTGTAAAAATTTTGAGTAAAGCTATAATAGAGTTTAATAAACGGATTTAAAAGAAAGAAACTAAAATAGTCTAGTTAAACCCCTCACCCATTCGAGGAGTTTACTTTTGCGCTTCTACTATTTTTTGCGACTTTTTGTCTCAATTGTGATGTATTCTTACTCTACAGAACATTACGAACATTTTGGTATACTTCACCCATCTTTAGCACTAAAGGGAGCCGGGATACAAAAGTTCATGCTCGCTGTGCACGGCGACAAACTTTAAAAGTCTTAAAACACTCACAGAATCATGCCGAAGCTCCCATTCTTGTCGCGGTACAGGATTCATCAGCAGGCAGCCACTTTTCTCGGTCACCGGGATCTAAAAAGCCTTTTAAAACCAAATAATCCCCAAACCTGGCGCGTCTGATGGAATCGGACCAGATCGCCGACCGACGGGAAACGATGCTTCTCAATCAGGACCTCTTCTAAAAAAGAGAGCAGTTAGAAAACCCAAAAAAACCATACCCTTGTGCTTATTAATGATAAAATGACGCGGCTTTCCATCCCAGAACACGCTCAACACCGTCTTCATCCCCTGGCCTTGCGCCGGCTCGGTCTGGAAAAGAATTCCGGAAATGTCGAGCGGTGTACCTGGCGCAACAGAAATTGCCCTTGTTCTTTCAGCAATGTGTTGATGTCTTCTCTAAAAATAGTAAAAGATTACAAGGTAGTTTTCCTTTGAACAGTAGAATTTGTCAAAACTGCAAAAATGCTTTGAGCACACATGGAGAACGCGTGCATTGGAACGTCGCGTATGCAAGATTTGACTACGCTTCGCTACACCCAACGCGTTTGTTGCATGCAATCATTGCATCTACCACAATTCGAATGAAGAGAATTCTCCCTTTCTGTAAAACGCAAAGTAAAAACAATATACCTGGGAAGCAGACCGTGGTACCAAATCTCGTGCTCAACCCCCTCCGGCATGCCGGAGAGACTCTTCCCTACAGATGAGCCTCATGAAATAAAGCAACGGCGTGAAGCTACCGAGTTTGCTGAACGCCATCGCGCCCGAGAACCCCGACGACGGCTGTAGAAAATGGTGGCATCCTGCCAGACGGCTTGAAGTACCGGAAAAGGTATGGAAATTAGCTGTCGACACTTTTGACTAGATGTAAATTAGCTTCCAGAGGTATTTGCAATTTTCGGAAAAGACAAAAGAGCCAGTAGAATCGCGGTAGCCAAGGAGCCAATATATCAGGTTGGTAGATAAGTCCTGTCACAATTTTTTGAAAGCGCCCTAGAAAGCCGCAGAAACATCGGATTTTCACTTTCGATACATGATTTGATAGATCTTGGGACGCGCTACTTGGGCAAACCCCGATTTGGTCCCCAAAGTGGCTCCCCGTCGAGTTACAGCTCCGGGAAGTTTTTGATAAAATCTTGAGAAAGCTATTTAGCGTGCTATCTCTGCATAGAGCCATTTGAATACAATACCATCAACGCCAATCGATAGCTCTCGAGGAGTAGATATCGATAGATCTTGAGATCATCAAAATTGGACACCGGATGGCCGAGATACGGGTCCTTGAAATTTGGTTGATTTCTTAGAACTTTTCTCGAAATCCCATACATTTAGACAAAACCTTCTCCGGGCGCTCAAAAACCAACTGGCAAGATTTGTCACAGATGCGTAAAATGTATGGGATTTCGGGAAAAGTTCTAAGAAATCAACCAAATTTCAAGGACCCGTATCTCGGCCATCCGGTGTCCAATTTTGACGATCTCAACATTTATCGATATCTACTCCTCGAGAGCTATCGATTGGTGTTGAAGGTATCGCATGCAAATTTCTCTATGCAGAGATAGCACGCTAAAAAGATTTTTCAAGATTTTATGAAAAACTTCTCGGTGCTGTAACTCGGCGCCCTGTAACTTTTCGGCCTTGTGCGGCAGCTCCCATTATAGAGCAACCCAAGGCCTATCAAATCAGGTATCAAACGTTAAAATCGGCCATGTCTGCGGCTATATAGAGAGATTTAAAAAATTTGTGACAGGACTTATCTACCAACCTGATAGCAAAATATTGCTCTTTTTTATCGTATATTTTCGATTTATCTTTTTTATGATGTTTTTCATAGTTTTTGATTTTTAGAAAGTTACAAAAAAAGTTTGGAATTTTTGAAAAGTCGATAACTTCGGCTTTTTTGGCCACTTTCGTACATTTTTGACAATCGATCGAAAAATTTTGAAAGTTTATTGTGTCAAACGCTTGGTAAGATTTTTGTTAACTTTTTATATGTAACAACCATGTCATATGCTGTAAAAAGGTGTTTTTTTATATTTTCCACTTCTCTTCCCTCTCGATAATCCAATTTTATTCAGCGCTTCATCGCCAACGATCAAAATACATTGTTTAGTGCCACTCCCATTAATGTGTCAATTTTCGGGGGGAGTTCGTGGAAATGTTTGGGCAGCCGAGGGGGTGAGTTGTCCGACAAAATAGACAGTTGAGAGACGGGGAGGAGGATGGCTGGGGAACGATTTCCCAACTTGTTTGCCCCTTTTATTGGCCTTTTCAGAGTTTTCTCTTTCTCTCTCGACATCCGTGCGCAGCCACCACACGGAAAGGAGCCCCCTTTCGACGGCTGTGGGATATGATGTTTTGTTGTCACGCTTTTCGGGAAATCCATCTTTCTGCTTTTTTTGCTCGAGGATTGCTCACCATTCTTCCATATTTCAGCCTTTAAAATGCCTATTTTTACGATTATTTACAAAAAATCTACCCGAAAAATCAGCTTTGTTAAGCGGAAAAACAATAAAAAACTTTCAAAAAGATTTTTACGTGAAATTTGGGTCGAAAATCGGCCATTTTTCGTCGAAAAATCGAAATTTTTTTGTAGTTTTAATGGAAATTTCTAGCGTTTTAAGTCTATGACTAGTAAAAACAATTTAGAAACAGTTCCTCAATTTATATTACAAAAATTGGATCTTTAGCAAAAAAATTTGTCCCCCGATAATGCCAAAGAACCTCGACGTGGATTTTCCATGTACAAAGCTCTAAATGGGCGCTCAAACCCCCCATTTTTTGGTGCGATTTTGACGATGAAGTGTCGAGCTATCAACAGCTGCCAAAAAACGAGCACCAAATAGTTTATTTAGGGCGTCACCTGATCGGTCGGCCACTGATCGACTGTATAAATATACGGGCGTTGAGCTAACTACGTTTTCGGCAATGAACTTTGCGTTATTTGTTGCAAAATTAACGATTTTGGGGGAGCTCGACCTTGCAAGGCCTTTTCAACCCTAGTCCACACGCACTTTTCGGAAAACAAAACGCTATTTCGCGTGTTTTTCGAGGGATTCTCGGGTTCAAAAGGGCAGGTCTAGCCCTTGCCCCTCGGCTCTTTGGCCATTTTCAGACATTTTTCAAAATATATTTAAATTTGAATATAAATTTTATATAAATAGAAATTTTTACAGTATTACCTAAAATTCTTATTGTTATCTTGCCTTTCGTTATTACCTGATCCTTATAAGCCGTATAATCGTTTTAGAAAATGAAAAACTGCGTCTACCTTGCCGCCTGCTCCCTCGTGCTCCTCATTTCCATCTCACTGGCCGCCGACCAGGAGTTCTGCCTGGCCTGCGAGCCGTTCGTCAACGATGTCGTCAAGTACAAGGACGAGAAGGCCGACAAGTTTGTTGACGTAAGTAAAATTGTTTCAACGATAAAAATTAAAACTTCGGGACTGTCCGATTAGCGGGGGGGGGGCGACTTTTTCTTAGAATCCAATTCTCAAATATCAGTAGCTGAAGTGTTTCTAGACTTTTTTACTATTCTAAACGTAAAAACGTTACAAATTTTTGATGTTGAATTTTCAACCGAAATTTCGACTTTTTCAAATTTTTAAAAGTTTTTAGATAGTTTTCCTTGTTGAAATATAGTTATTTGTCACTAAAAACACTAATAAAATACTTCCTCATGCTGAAAACCCCAGCAAAAAGGTGTAAATTCCACCCAATTGCCTTCAGAAAACCCGTAAAGCGTGCGCGAAACGATTCGACATGGTCTACCCGACATTCTGCAAGACCCTGGTGACGGCTCAGATTGATGATATTCAGGTAAGATACAAAATACGAAGCTTGGCGTTTAAATAAGCTACAAAAACTAATTCCAACCTTTCAGACGAAGCTCCAGGGCGGCCAGCCGGTGAAGAAGATTTGCCAGAAGCTCAAGATGTGCTAGATTTTCACTGCCATTCCCCCATGACAATAAATTTTTCGGTCTTGATCTTCGACGTTCGCACCGGTACACATCAGAATTTGGAAATTTCATGCCCTTTCATTGTTGAACGTTTTCGCCCCGCAATTGCCCATATCAAAAGCCGGAGGCGCTGCTGTTTTTGTGGGGGACCGAGGAGGCGAAAATAAACAAAAGAACTGGCTGCGGGCAGTGTGGCCCCTCGCTTCAATCTAAAAACAGTTCTTTGGGAAGAATGAAACTCTTGTTGCTGACGATATTGTGGTTATATTCTGGATACGGTAAGTGGGTTTTGTTAGTTGTTCGGTTTTTGAATGTGCAAAGGGACAGTTAGTTCTAGGCTGAAAAAGTAAAAATGCAAGGAGCGCAAAGAGGAAAAGTGGGCAGAGTAGCGCCTGGTACCCTATAACTTGCAAACGCGGCGCCCGTGCACACTTCAATCGTTTTTATTGGTTGATTATTTTACTTTTCAATGTTTTGCTATTTCCCCACTTGAATTAGAATCAATTTAGCGTTCAAAACCCCGCGACGTTGGGCCCAATTTCAACGGAAACAGCTCACAAATGGTAATAACATTCAGATAAACCCGATTTACGTTATTTAAGTGCGACAATAGACAGTTTTACAGCTAATGGGAAGTGTAACGAATATCGGCCGTTTCCCGATGACAAGACGAGGATGGTCTGCGTGTGCGACCCCGGGCAATGTCACCGGATGCCGGCACTTGGGGTAATAGCTAAATCTTGGGCTCACTCTAGTCAAAATCAGAATATCACCGCCGGATCGTCGTATCACCTCGTGTCGAGCATGGCAGGGTTGCGCCTCGATACCAAGCGCGTCCGCCAGGGTCGAAAGATTGGTATGTTTTTAGGTATAAAATTAGTTGTTTAGATCCGAGTAAGATCGAGGGGCTTTGCGCTAGCGTGCCGAAAAACGGCTTGAAGATGAAGGTGAAGCCGAGCAAAAAGTTCCAGGAAATGATCGGGTTTGGGGGTACGTTTTTTATAGTTAAACGGTTGTATTTCGGGTACTGTACTGTTAGCGGGGGACTAATTTTGCCTATACCGGTCGATAATATATAGTGTATCTTTGGGTCCTTTTTTAGTAGTTTTTCATTGCTAAAAAGTTATAAAACAGTTTTTAAATCTTAAAATCCGAAAATTTTAACTTTCTTTGACCGTTTTTCATAGATTTTTTTGTTTGGCGTTTAATAAACTTCTAAAAACTTAACACTCTAGGCGCCATGACCGACGCGGCGGCGATGAACATCGATCGCATGGACAATGATGAATTTGAGGAGCGGCTGCTCGGCGCTTATTTTTCCGATGAAGGTTAGCCCTTGGCAACGACTTTCGACTTTTTTTAGGCTTGGAATACACGCTGATCCGAATCCCGATGGCTTCCAGTGATTTTTCTACGCGCGAATATTCGTACGTCAACACCCCAAACGACTTCACGCTCGACTCGTTTCATTTGGCCGAGGAGGACGATTGGAAGATCAAATTCATTCGGAAGGCCCAGAAAATGGCGCGCTATCCGATAAAGGTGAGGTGATAAAGGTGTAGAAATCTAAATAAAATATAAAGACAAGCAAATGCTCCATTTTCCAGGCTTTTGGGAGTCCCTGGTCTGCCCCAGCTTGGATGAAAACTACCGGCCATATGAAAGGGGGTGGGAAGCTGAATCCCGGTGCGAATTACTCCGAGGCGTGGGCCCAATATTTTGTGAGGTGAGGTTTACACGAGTTTACGTCTTCTAAAACAACAGCTGTATGCTTTCAACTTGTTTTATTCCTTTTAAAAACGTTTTCAATGTGCTTAAAAATGGATTTCTAGATTTATCGAGGACTACAACGCGCAGGGTGTCCCAATCTGGGGCGTTACCGTCCAAAACGAGCCCTCCGCCGGCGAGGATGGGGAATGGAAATGGCAAGCTATGTATTTTCCGCCCGAGGTGGGTCGATAGAGGTTTTTAACGTTTTAAAATTGTAATTTAACGCTTTTGGAGTTTTCTAGCCCAATTTTCTTACAGGACCAAGCCAACTTTGTGGCCAACCACCTCGGCCCTGCTTTGAAGCAATCGAAAGTAGCTAGCTCAGTAAAAATCATGATCCACGACGACTTCCGGGGCAATCTGCCGGAGTGGGCCGACCGGGTAGGAGCACGAAAGCTAGTGCCTAAAAATGGAAACTTCAGACCCTAGCGAACAAGGAGGCGGCAAAGTACGTGGATGGAATCGGGGTGCACTGGTATGGGAAAGCGGATCCGGAAAGATTGAGCCAGACCAAGGAGCATCACCCGGATAAGTTTATCTTGGGAACCGAGGTATGGACAGTTCCAGTTTATGAGCATAAAATCAAAGCCCACGTTAAAACATAAGTGGGCGCCTATTTACGCAGCGATACTACGTAGAGAATGAGAGAGAGAGAGAGATAGAGAGAGCTAGAGAGAGAGAGGATTCCCAGTCACCTGATCGAAAAATCACCTGATCGAAAATCGCCTGATCGAAAATCGCCTGATCGAAAAGTCGTCTGATCGAAAATCTCCTGATCGAAAATCGCCTGATCGAAAAATCGCCTGATCGAAAAATCGCCTGATCGAAAATCGTCTGATCGAAAAGTCGCCTGATCGAAAATCGTCTGATCGAAAAGTCGCCTGATCGAAAAGTCAACTGATCGAAAATCGCAAAGCAAAGCAAATCCTTTTCAAAGTTGTAGCATATTTTCTGCTGCTCGTCGAGCGTCGTCCGGTCGCGTTTCTTCGGGGCATGCGCGTATTCTCGGAGCTGTCTCAGTTTGACCCGGGTTTTGAGCTCGAACTTCTGAAGGTAGTTGAGGAATTTCCACATGGACGGGTGCTTGCAGCCAAAGTGTTGGTTGAGTGCGTTGCTGGTGCCTAAGCCTAAGCCTAAGTCTAAGCCCAACCACGAAGCATGGTATGACAAATTACTTCCAGGTGCTGGGGCAAGAAAAATTTTATTTCACCTGGCTGGTCCTTCAGCCCCGATAATTTTCGATCAGACGATTTTCGATCAGGCGATTTTTCGATCAGGCGATTTTCGATCAGACGATTTTCGATCAGGCGATTTTTCGATCAGGCGACTTTTCGATCAGGCGATTTTCGATCAGGTGTTTTTCGATCAGACGACTGCCAACCGAGAGAGAGAGAGAGGAGAGAGAGAGAGAGAAACCGTTGCGTAAATAGGCGCTCACGTAGCATAAGGCAGATACCGGAACCAGGGCTTTACAACGTGAAAAGGCAGAATCACTGGCAATGTGACGCGCATATTGTGACAATTGTTTCGAGGCGCTTCTCGTAGTCAGAATTTCAATTGTAAAAAACTGTAAACTTGAAGCTTCGAAATACTCAGGCTTGCGCCGGCAGCGGCGGCGCCAAGGAGCACGTTCGGCTGGGCGACTGGGGCCGAGCCGAAGCCTACATGGTTGATATGATCCAGGATTTCTCACATCAAGTCTCCGGCTGGGTTGATTGGAACTTGGCGTTGGATATGGGCGGCGGCCCGAATTGGGTTGGCAACTTTGTCGACTCGCCGATCCTCGTCAATCACACCGCCCATCGATTCTACCTCCAGCCGATGCTGTACGCCATCGCGCATTTTAGGTGGGCAAAAAGTGAATGGACTCTAACAAACGAACGAACTCTTTCAGTAAATTCGTGAAGCCCGGGGCTTATCGTATCGATTCGTCAATGCAAGGCAACGAAGAGGCAAACCTTCAATCGGTCGCGTTTGAGAACCCGGATGGCATGTATATACCGATAAATCCTTATTTTTTCAGGATCGATTGTGGCCGTCGTTTATAACCCGGCAAACTGTACATTGGCGCTGAACGTTGAGGATGAAATGGGGCACGTACACGGTCTCCAAATTGATCCACGCTCTTTCAATACGCTTCTATATAAGCCTGAGCAGCCGTAATGTAACGAAAATATACTTTAAGTTTTCAAAATTTATTTGAACGTCCAAAAATGTACGGTAAATTTATTAACGTTAAAGTATTATTCCAACCAAAAGCCTGACTTGTTTATCGAGAGTTTGACGCTTTAAATAATTAGCGAGAGGTTACCCATTATAAAGAGCTTTATAAATTTTATATTCTAACGAAGAGGAGAAGCATTTGGAAAAACGAAGCTTGCTTTTCCTTGTCATCATCTGATCACGGTCTTTTTTCCATAATTTCTTCTTTTTTTTGATAAATTTCGTTTTCGCTCGACTCTTCCAGCATCTTTTACTGTTAATTATTTTACACTAATTTATTATTTTTACACTGTGTCATAATCGCATAAAATATTTTTAAACCATTTATCGGCACCACCCAAAACGAGCCGCTCCTATCGACAGATACACACCCAGAAGAGGAAAAGGGAAGCCCAGGAAAGTGAATCGGATACTGTAGTCATAAAAAAATCAAAGAAAGAGACATTCTCAAAATATACACGATCAGTACGTCACTCGCTCGTCCAGCAGCTTGACACATTCAGGAAGCCCCAGGGCGACAAAGCCGGTGCGCATCGCCGACACCTTGGAGCCGGGCACCATCTGGAAAGAGGTGTTCAACGTACTAATACCACTATTGTAAGCCGTACCTCATATTGATCCAAGAAAATCATGGTCGGGCTAGAATTCTCGTCGGCGCAAATCTGGATCAGCTCCGTCATATGGCCACATTCGAGCTCCTAAAACATTCGAGCTTCTGGATAGCCTTGATTTTCCCTTACCATTGCCAGATCTTGCCACTTTGCGTTGTTGTCCAGGATTTTCGAGAGACGGAGTCGGGTCAGGTAATCGAGGGAGCTGATGTCATCTGGAATACTGGGGACTGGGCTGTTACCGGGGGTTAAGCGGGGGTAACTAATTTCTGTCTTTCCGCCTATATGGTTTTATAGTTGAATTTTGTAGCGTTTTTAATCCGTTTTGTTTCCTAGAAACTTCAAAAATCTGAACATTTTGACCTTGTTTGACCAAACAGCCAAAAAATTTTCCACATTTTTATAGTTATTTTATGCATTTTTATGACTAAAACTGTAGAGAAAATTACGCTATTTGTAGCTTACCTTTAGCAAAATTGCTCGACTCGAAGCGGCTTTTCCTTGATCTGCCCGGGGTGGTGGACGAGGATGGGCCTTGCTCGGGTGACATTCCGAGATCTAGGTAATGGTTCAATTTGTCTATTATATCAACTTTCTATATTCTGATAGTATAATATCCTAATTTACTTTCGAATGCCAGTGTATTTAGTTTTCAGTTTTTAACCTTCCTACCTTCATCATCGTCAAGGGCAGAACCGGCCGAGATCGGGATCGGATCACCGGCGCGTCTGCCTGCTGTTGATGGTCTATAAATTGTAGCTTATAGCTTGTATTTTGTCCGCTACATTCTTAAAATTTGAGCAAACCACCCACCTGCTCGATCGCGGGCTCTCATCGATTTGAATCGGGATATCCTCGCCGGATTCAGACCCGGACCCCCCATCAGCGCCACCACCACCTACGCTTCGGCCAAACAACGGGTTGTGCGCTTGCCCAAATGGCTTCAGCTCCGGAGCGATCCTGTAAACGATATTAAATTGTTGGGCTCGCTCTTCTTAGGTACCAACCTTTGACCAGCGATCACATCTCGCGTCGTCTGATCCGGGTTGTCGGCCAGGCAAATTCCCTTCGAATTCTTGACCGCCGGATCGGCGCCGGCGTCCAGCAATGCGCCCATGATATAGGAAATTGCTGGCCTTTAAAATAAGGTCCCAAAACTGCCCGGAAACCTTGCCTGCTTCGACAGAAGTAGTGGAGTATCCCCATTCTCATCCTGGTGGTTGACGTCGGCGCCTTTCTAAAGTAATTTTTTATATTTTCCATTTGCAGGACCCGGCGTCAATACCGGCTAAAATACATCCCAAAATTGTGGATCACCTGTAGCAAATGAGCGATGATATCCGGATCGTTCATTGTAATGGCGTGCATCAGTGCGGTTCTACCCGTTGCGTCGCCCCATCGACTTGAAGCCCGGTGTCGAGCAGCATCTCCACCAGCGAGAGCTTAACCCTAAAATAATGGTAAAATTAAGCGGAAAATTGTACAAAACCAGAGCTTTTTAACTAGAAAACCCCAAAAAACGTTTAATTTATTGGTTGATTAATGCAATTAAATAAAAAAATTTGAAAAGACAACTAGTTCTATTTTCTATAAACATAATCCTAACCTCGTCACAGCCACGATAAGCGGCATCTGCCCTTGCTGGATTCTTCTTCTCCAACTCCTCATTCATCCCAGACCCGGCTTCGATAACCCCTTGAAAATCGCGTCGCTGTACGTGTCGCCGGAGGTAGTGGAATGCCCTAATACCTGATTTTCCAAACCAAATCGTGTCGTCCCTACGGTATTCTGATGGTTGTCCGGGGTGTCGAGCGGGGCGCCCGAGGCGATAAGATAGTGCACCGAGTCGACGTCCCCGGCTCGGATCGCGCACTGCTACGCCGTCTGTCCCCGGCTATTTCGCTTGTTCAGCAGAGCTATAAATTGTAAGATGTTAGACTCTCCAAAACCTCCCTTACTTTTCCGCTCCTCATCGCTTAGGCTTTCACAAGAGGATAGGAAAAGTCCGCATTGCAAATGACTGCTGATTACGCGCCGCGATGTGCAGGACTCTAAAAATATAAATTTTAGAAACAAGTGAAAGTCTTACGTATTTCCTTTATTGTCGGTTTTGTGAAAAGCATACGCAAATGGGCGTGTCAACTGCTTTGAGTCTCCATTCTCCGGCAAATTGGAACAAATGGCTGTTGTCCACGGAAGTTGAGGGTGTCTCGTCGTCTTTTTGTCTAAAGTTCCTGACGTTCAAAATCTGATTTTCAAACTATAATAAGAACACGTTATGGTATCCAAATACTCACTCAATAGGCCGCTGTGTCACCGGAATCTTGACAATCTCGTCTCCACATTTTTAGTGTAAGGTCCCTGGAGCGGCCGAAAAGTACCCCAAAAACCGGTACTAGCGAAAATCAGCAGCTGCAACAAATCATGATAAGCTTTTGTAGTTTTCAAACCTTGTCCTTCTTCAAAACAATTTTCAACCGCTTTTTCATCGTCCCCAAAAGTTAAGGTGAGTTCGATCTCGGCATCCGGTCTTCCGGCTAGTAAAAGCCAGGTCTAAAATTAGGATTTGGGGTGATAAAAATTACGAGACTTTACTTTCTCGCCAGAATTCAATTCCGGAGACGAGATTTCCTAAAAACTGACCTTTTATCACTGAGAAATAAACGACGAGTAAAGCGGCGCTAATTTGCCAAAAGAACCAACCTCGATGAACAAGCCTCGCAAATTTTCTGCTTTGCTTGGTGGTTGGAGCATCTGAAGGGCGATATTTCCAGAATTCTAGTTCATTTTTCATTTTCGTCTTCACGAAAATTTAAATTTTCAACAAGAAAATTTGCAACTCACATCACTATCCGAATGCGATTTTGCCACCGAACTGTGCCGACTGTCCGAGATTGACGGCTCGGCTGGCATTTTAATCTGCAAAATAGGATTGAGACTTTTTGGAACAAAACATACAATGAATACGATAAAATCCGAAGGAATATAGGACAATATAAGCTATCGAGCTTGAGCCGAGGGATCGAGGCGTGAGTGTGGTGGATAGGGGGTGGTGTAAACCCTGGTCTTTGCGGCCCTCTTTCACTGGCAGCGTCTTCTCCCATTGCCCTCTCTTCGCCCTTGCAAGCACGAATGGCCATAACCACTACCACGTTCCCCACGATCGCTATGAGAAATCCGTCAATAAAGCTTTCGGGCTTGAGAATTAAAAATCTGGCCAAAAAACATGTATTAAAATGACAATCTTAGGACCAGCAAGATTTTTGATGTCGTACGTGCACTATGGAAATTTTTTATTTTTCCTAGGTACCTGAAGACGCTGAATAACGGAATAGCAACTATTTTAATGCAATTTCACCGCTTATTTAGCCATAAAATTTCATAAAAAATTTATAATTTTGAAAACTAAGAACTTTCCGATCAAAATTGGATAAAAAAAGGTCGATATATCAAAAATTTTTAAATAATAAACTGAATCCATTTTAAATGTTGGCAAACTACTAAAACCGCTAATTTTATTACAGCAAAAGTTCGGCTGAATAAAGGAAGTGGCCCCACACCGCTAAAAAACCGGAAACTAGAAACAAAAAAAACAGAACTATCAAACCATTTCGCAATAAAGAAAGCCCAGCGCCGAATCGCTTCTGTCACGAAATTACAGTGAACCCGGATCGGTGGGCACACAGAGATCCCGTGGGCCCCCGGGAAGCACTCGAACCACCAGCCAATCCGGGGGCCCAGCCGGAGGGACCAGCCGGGAGTAGACAACAACCGAGAAGAAGCCCGAGAGAAACATCAACAATGTTCCCCGCGACGATGGCGATCAGCTGGTGCCGATGAATCATCATTTCGGGGGGAATTGGGAGCACGGCAGGCGCGTGGGCAAAGGGGCAGGCTGCCCCCCGAATTGGCACTGAAAAACATATGTCCCTATGATTTTTTTCATCTTGTAAATTTTTGCCTGCGCCGCTATTTTTGCAAATTTTGCCTGCGGCGCTTAAATTTCGAAAAAATCTTCGGTTGCCCCTCCGAAATGTCGCTGCCCCCGCCCCTGGAAACTGCAGCTAGCCGCCCCTGGGAGCACGTCATCGACAATATACACGTTTTTCGGCCTGAAAAAACTACTGGAACTGTTACGTGTCCGTTTTTGGAAACGCCGCTGAAAGATGCGCAACCTAAACCAAGATTTTGAAATACATCCGCTCTCGAAATTTTGCAATTCTCAAATCTGCCTCCTCTTTGCCGCGCCCAAATGGCCTAAAATCGGCTCCTGGCCCTTAAAGTTTCGCACCTCTGATAAAACCCTCCTGACGCCGTATTGATTAATTTCGCCCCGGAAATGACGACTTTTCTAAAATGTGTTCTATTATTTGCTATTTTCGGCTACATGAACAGCTTTACCATCATCGGGAATAGCTGGAGTAAGCTTATCGGAAATTGTAATAGAGAGACCAAACAGAATAAAAAAAATTTTGGGCTCTACTAAAAAGTAATACCCCTTCTCCATCAGTGTGCGAAAACGAGGAGCTGCGAAAGATCGTGCTCGAGGCTATAGATACAGCGACAAATCCGAAAGATGATTCGCTAAATCTGGAGATTGTGCGAACGAGCATAGAGGTCTAAATTCACTGATTATTAGAAATCGAAAGCACGTCACCTAACAAAGCCCTTTTAGAAAAGCTGAAATCCAGAGCAGACGGCGAGTGGTTTATTTCCGTAAGCCGCTTCACGCGTCTTCTCCGAGATTCGACACTGCCCACAGCGGACATGCCAGATTTCTGTGCCCTCGACGCAAATTTTGTTGACATCACGCTGTTTCGGATCGAATAAAGATGAATGTGTTCTGGAAGTCGACAAAAAGCACAAACTTTTTAGGGTTTACAGAGGCGCAAATTCCAAAATTGACTAAATCGGTTATTCAACCTAACTGTCATAAAATTTATGCGGCCCCACAGACGATAACGAAGTAAAGGATCAATAATTTTTTAAATTTTATTTGCGAATTTAAAATTATATCAATTAATTTTTTATTCCGTGAGGCTCCAACGTACGCGCCTTTCTACGCGGGAATACGCTTGGAATACGAATACGTTCATTGTTGTGAAAAGTACTACGGTCGCAGAATTTTGATTTTCGAATTTTGATAGTTTGCAAAATAATTCTTGTGGTTCGTAGTTTCTCAATCCAGAAACCTCGTTTTTCTTTCAGGGCAAGCTTGCACCATCCGAGGGATGTGGCGGCCGCTGCCGCGGTTGAAGCATGCGATCCCGCGGGATCTCCGCATGCTTCATTATCCAGCTGTTAGAACATCATTACTTCTTTGCGCTCCCATCGCTTTTTCAGCACGACGACGAGCGGCGAGAGCGAGAAGGCAGCAACGCCGCCGCTGCGCGCACTAACAAGGGCCATCAGCGCCGTGTTCCTCAACGCCGCCGGTAATCCGACTGACTAATTCATATATTTTCTTTAGACAAATTCAACGTAACTGCTGCAAGTGTGGACGAAAGTGAAGGTTGATGGCCACTCCCTTTTTGAGCCATTTAATTTTAGGCATCAACGATCTTCTTTCAGCTCTGCGGGCAGAGCCATGTTTATACGTGGGAGGAAGCAATTAATCTGAAGTGAGCTCGCGCGTTGTTTTAAAATCTTTTCAGACGTTTGAATTCGGTGGTCCACAAAATCAACGGGGGCTCATTTGGGAGGTGTTGCGATCCATTCGACTCCACAGGCCGGATACACCAATATTATCAAGGTGGTTCGGGCGTGCCCTTATAGATGCTTTTCGTTTTAGGTTATCCCAATAGATGGTGAAGCTCCCGAAGCTGTTTGATCAGCTAACCAGTGAGGAGGTATGGCTATTTTCGCTTGATTTAATGTGATTTAGGTCTACAGCGAATTGCTCCAGCTCAAAGCTGCTCACAAAGCTTTGGGAGTGACATTGCGCGGCGGAACAGCAGCACCAAATGCTTTATCCATTTAGCAAGGGTGATATGTGGTTCGAGGTAATGATTTGACTTTGTGGTAGCCGCAACTCCTAGGCCCGTATCATCCTGCGCTCCAGGCCGCATGGAATAAATACGATGAGGATGAAGAATGTGGCAATGCTAACCCAAACGGAGGTTTTGGAACGATCACCATTTTATAGTTTCTTATTTTAGCTCTATCCCGATCAAGTGTATATCGTGGCTTCGAGTTATGAGAATGGGGGAGATTCCCTAGATCATTTCCAGGCCTTGGTTTGCCGAGCCTCTTCCAGTTAACGAATTCATTTTTAGCCAAGACATCCGGAAGAACTTTGTCCATCATCTGCCAAATCGCGACGGACAGGCAGCCGAGCAAGCGCTTCGATTTGAACATCGTGATCTGCACATTGGCAATGTTTTGGTGTTCAAGAAGCCCCGTCCGCGCGACCACGTGTAATTTTTCAATAGTTTTGCCTCTCAATTTTTGCTTTAGTGCCACTGTCAACGGAGAAGAGTTCTGCTTCCATGATGCCGGGGTCTCGGTGCGGATCATCGACTTTACGCTGGCACGCTTTGGAAGACGATGCCAGACGCACTACCATAAATTAAAGTAAATAATTACCGGCGAGCTAGAAATTTAATTTAGGGAAGATGACGCGCTCTTTGAAGGAGACGACAGCGAGCCCCACCACCAAATTTACCGTGATATGAAAGAGTTTACTGGGTATGCGCTTCCATCGTCTACTAACTTATCGATGTTCAGCGGTAACTGGCGTGCCTACTACCCGGTGACGAACAGGATCTGGCGTGGAGTACCTTGTCGAGCGTTTGTGCGATCTAAGCAAAGTAATTCTCTTCACAACTTACCGCGAACGCTTCTACTCCTTCACCGGATGCTGGACGAATTGGAGGATTGCAGTGAGACCCACTTTTGTGATAGAAACTTTTTTTCTAAGGCTCGGCGTACGAATTCATCCACACCACCGCCTTCACAAGAACCGTAACCTACTTGGATTCCTTACGCGACGGCAATCCGCGTTAACTATAATTCTTCGCTAGGCAATTGTAGCCATCTTTATTGTTGTGGTATAATTAATTAAAGGTTAACACTGTGACTTGTGCTCATTTTTGTTTATGCTTTCATTGATCGTCGGATGCCGTTCTGAATGGTCTATTTAGAGGAGCTTTGATAAACATGCATTTGAACAAAGGCCGTTTTATTTTTTCGTTTAACGGCGAAAGCAATACTTGGACGCTAGTAGCTTGAGCTCAAAACCGGTTCTTGTAGGCGTGACAGACGGACGAAACCTCAAGCGCCGAAATGGAGGATTTCCAGTGGATCAATTGGTTTTGTTCGGAACGTGGCAACGAATTCCTTTGCGAGGTAAAGCGCTTTTCTTATGAAATATTTTTTTGAAGGTTGACACGGAATATATTCGCGATCGATTTAACCTGACCGGCCTTCCCGAAACGGTGCCGCATTATCATTTGGCCCTGGAAACGATCCTCGACAGGTTACGGAGACGGAGACCAAAGAGCTGGCTGGTCCGAAGTTTGATCGCGCCGCGGAGCTGCTGTACGGCTCTCATTCATGCCCGCTACATTCTAACGAATCAGGGCATTACTCAGGTTTAGCTGGGGATACATATAGACATTTCATTTGTAGATGACGGAAAGTAGCAAAGACCGCGAGTTCGGGATCTGTCCACGCTGGCCTTTGCAGCAGTGCTCCGCTTATGCCGATCGGTCTTTCGGACACGCCTGAAGAGGCCACAAGTCAAGCTCTACTCCCCCCGCTGCAATGATATCTACCAGCCGCGCACGAGGCAGTTGACATTGGATGGTCAGTTCCAAATCTTGCGGTGTTTATACAGCAAAGCAACCCAAGGCTTCTTGTTCTGATTATGACATTTGCAGTGAGCCTACTTCGTACCGGCTTTCCTCGCATGTTCTTCTTGTGTCAGTGACCCTGATATGCGCCCGAGAAGCCCTAGCAAATCGTTCTTGAGCCACGGTATATTATCCGTGGTTTTTTTCAATTTGCTTTGTTTTTCTCAGCCTTTTCGGCTTCAAATTCACCTATCAGCTCTCTGCGCTCCGAGTGGAGGAGGAAAGGTGTCCTACTGCCGCCACCGATGACCAGCCCCAGGAGTAGCTCTGATTCTTACTTTCTTCCCTGGCTGCTAACTGCGCTTTTTGGATGCTTTTGGCCTTAATACTTGATTCAGTACATTTCATCAATGGTTCATTTTCTATACAGTAAGTTTTGTGCGTCTGGCTTTGTGTTCGTCAGTATCCCACTTCGTCGATTTGGTGCTTCCATTTTTATGGAGTTTATTAATAAAGGTCTATTCAGTGACGTTGATGCAGGACCCGCTGAGGAAGTATTCGATAGTATCTTTACTTGTCCTTCCCATCTAGTGTGAATGATCGGGGTGGACGAAAGCCTATAAGTCATTTGGATGCGCTGACACATTTTTCTACCCACCTTGTCAACAAACTCCAAGGATTCTAACTTTGTCGTCAACGGCTCAATCAGTTCGTCTTGAATTTGTCGGGGTGTCTGATTGGGATCAATCGCGACCACATGCACCTCGACGCGAACCTGAGCCGTACTTGTCGTTTTTTGCCGACTTACCTTATTGCCGGCATGGTACGCCAGTAGCGCGTCTAGACATCTGACGTGCGGCTCTTCTATGCAGACTTTCGTGATTCGCGACAACTCTTCGGGGGAGCAGACACCACCTAGATTGTATGAAATTGGCTGAAAAGGGTACTTTACCCAGGATCTGGTAGATTTGTTCTTTCACCAACTCAAACCAATTCCATGCGATGTACCCACTAAAGAACATATTTTTTCATTTTGGGTAAATGCTTTTACCTGACTAGCGCTGCATTAATAGGATCTGCAACCGGGGCCACATATTCCGACAAAGCAGCTCCAACGATAACCACGCTGTTGGTTACGACATCATTTCTAAAGCTTTAGGTTTTTTAACCGGCTAGCCCACCTTTGATCCGGTCGCCAAAATCTCAGCACTCTTCGATTTCCGTTTGCTGCACCAGGTGAAGAGCACAATTTTGATGGAGAATTGTGGACAGCAGAATGAGGAGCGAGACGGGCGTGATATCAGGCGGCGGCTAATCGGTGTGTAAGCTCGCCTTTTGCCTACCTTTCCGAAGATTAGGGCCCTCACAGAATCCCAGACGACTTGAAGGTTTGCGACGCCCATCACCTAGAGGATATAGGGTATTTTTTTGGTTTTTTTGTCTAAAATCATTGGGATCTTGAAGTCTGTGATCGTTAGGAAAATTTTTTAGTTTTTTAGAACGTTCGGATTACCCCGGACAAGAATAGCAGCGACATATTCTCCAGGTTCTCTCGACCTCGCGGATAATGCCATGTGTCGGTGTTGATGATCAAATGGGTCGCGTACCACACGGCAACGCCACTGTAAACTGTTATCAAGGGGGACCGGAAATGCCTAGTAAGATATGAGGAATTATTTATTAGTGGTTTGGTAAAATATAACCATATCTCGACTATAAAAAACTATCTCAAAGCTTAAAAAATTTTTAAGGGGAATTTTGGTCAAAAATCTATATTTTTTTATTTTTCATAAACATTGTAAAGATGTTACGCTTCGGAATATAAAAAAAACACAGTTTAGAAACATTTCCGCTCTTTGTATGGAAAACTGGATCCTAAAAAAAGTTGCCGTTAGACAGGTTCTTTTTTGCGTTACTTAATACTATCCCTATTAGGCCGTGACCCCCTATTTTTCTAGCCACTGTTCGGTTGGTTGCCTGGGTGTTTTAGGGTGAACAGCACGCATGTTTGCATAGCGATAACCCGGCGGGGAACACGGGGGTGGCGGCGGGTCGTTAGGCAAAACAAGCACCTGGTGATGTCAACGATCGAATCGAGTAGCGTCGAAATGATGGACAACGAGGAGCCGTGCGTCAGCCATGTTGAGAAAGCCTAAAAATGGACCAATCAGCTACGCTGATTTTTGTCAGGTATCAATTTTGAAGCTCGATTTCTTATTTTTTAGATTTACCTTCGCCAATAGAAGGCCTAGATTGATGCTGAGCACGACGGTAGAGATCCGTTGATCGGCTTTTGTCTAAAATTCAATTTTCCGATGAGCGGAAATTCATACAGCATCCTCTTTATTTTCCATGGGACCCCCATTCCTGATGCATTCCTCATCAAGTTTATAGGCCTCAAGCAAGGCATCTTGTTTCCTGAAATTCATTTTGAAAACGCGGCGGGTGGGTTTACTCGTAATATTCCGCGCATTTCGGGTTCTCCTTAGAAGAAGCCGTTGAGTGTCGTCGCTTCTGATGATGGTGCTTCTCGTGCTTCTGCTTTTTCTGCTCCTTTTTCTTTAGTTCATTTGGCGGGGATTTCCGGCGACTTTGAGCCATTACTGTAATGGGCTATTTTGAAGCGGAAGTGATGGAAAGAAAACAATTAGACGCCAATGAATGAAGAAAAGGAAATTTAGGTTCTTTCCATTGTCGGGGGGGCATCTTTTTTTCATCAGCTCCAACTTTTTAAATCTAAATAACGTAGTGTTTATAAAAGTTTTTTGTTATTTATAAACAAGAAGACTTTACAAATCTTTATTAAATAAATATCAAAAATATAGATTTTCCGACCAAAAGTGGCCGATTTTTTACCAAAATTTCAACTTTTTCAAACATTTTAAAAAAGTTTTGGTTTATGAGCGCTTCCTATTACGTTGATGGACATTTAGAGAATTATACAAAGTAGTTTGGACCCCGATAATGCTAAAGAACCGAAATTTTAAAGGTTCTGCTGTGCTTTAGAAGGGCGAAAGAATTATGGGAGCCATAAATCGGGGGGTAGTGTCGCCGGGAGCTCATCAAATTATCACCCCTCGGGTGGCTACCGATCAGCGAGGCTTATCAGGCGACGAGGTGCCGGCCACCACGAGAAGGGCAGAATGGCAGAAAAACGGGGGCATGTTCAAAGTTGAGAAGCCGTGTGGGTTGCCCTTATCGTGGGCCAGCCAGCCCCCGTCGGACTTTCCGCACAGGAAATGACAAAGCGAGACTCTGTTTCGACGTAGGTGTGAGAATAGCCATGTTCACACCGTGTTTCAAAAAGTCTGAAATGTTTTTGTTTGTTTCTGGTTTGTATAAATTAGCCTAATTAGGCAAAATCATCATCGTTGGGTCGTAATTAGCGATTCAACGTACTTTATCGTCTAAAACAGAATCTTAGCTGTATTTTCGTATTTTTACCTATAACAATCTCGTTTTTTAGCTTATTTGTTTGTCTAGACTGAGTTAATGATAGCCTAGAAATCGTAATTAGCAATTTAACGTATCAATACGCACTATACATGCTGTTAAAAGGTTACATTTTCGGGTACAGTTAACATTATCTTATCTTCCAGCGTGCCTTTTGTATAAAATGATTAAATTAAAATGATAAATTAAACGAATTTAGCATATTAGACGTGATTTATATCATAATTAACTGATAGCTAAGAAATAGGCTATTTTATAGCCAAATTGTATTTTCTGTATTGATCAAATCGTGCGAAATTTGTGAATCTTTAAACTTGCAAACTATTGAAACTGATTTATGCATAGACAGACGATCCATAGTTTAGAAAATCACAGCAATCGGGTCGGGGGGAACGGCTTTCAGCCAGGAAAAAGAAAGTTTTTCGTTTCTTTCGACAAACTGGGTCAAAGGTATCCTATTTTCATCAAAACTGGGTGCACTCGTATCGAACGTCGGGCGGGCTTTTGGTTAATATTAATTTCAATATAAAACAGAAAATATAGCGACTAGATCGGGGGCTAAAGTCACAACCGAGAGAGAAATACATCAGATCCACAGGGGGCGGCAAGATCATCGGGTGAATGAAAAATACAGAAAAAGCGGAAAAATTGTGAAAGTTTTTGTGGGTGCGTTGACTAGAAATTCGGGGAGAGATTTAAAAATATACATTATAAGGAAATTAAGACATTAAAGTAGCTAATGGGTCAGCTTGGTGATGGCGAGCTGCTCGCGGAGTTGTGAGATGAGGCGGTCCTTTTCGCTGAGCTGCCGGCGGAGCACGTCGTTTTCGCGGGCCAGCTCGCAGCACCCGATTTGGCCCTATAAATGGCTAGATTGAGCAAAGCTACGTGGTTGATTTCTTTAAAAAGCGTTTAGAGAGGCGCCGATTTTTGTGGCTCAATGGTTTCGCGTAAGTCTTTTAGGCGCAAGGCCCGAGTTCAATCCCCCCGACGATGCACAACTTTTTGCTTTTTGACAGGCGAGTTTCCCTTGCGGTGAATATTTTAAATCAAATTTAGGAGCGTATAGGCCGGTGGCGCAATGGTTCCGTGTCATGCCACCAGGCGGAGGGCCCGGGTTCGACTCCCGTCGATGTTAGTTTTTTTGCTTTTTGACCAGCTTGTAGAGGTCGTCAATTTTTTGCACTACAAATTGCCAAACAATCGCTTACTTTATTTTGGGGCGGGGATTCGGGCGTTTGGGCCAAGGCGGATTGCAGGGCCATCAGCTGGGCCCGCATGGCCTCGACCTCGGCAAGGCTGGCCTCGATCTGCTTGTGGTTGCCGCCGGGCGAGTAGATGGTACTCAGATTGCTGAAAATTTCAAGGTTTTAAGAACCGTAGTCACTTTTTTTTTGTATTTAGGGTAATTTTTCTCTATTTCCGTTGTTTCTACCCCAATTTTCGCTTGGACAACCCCTATTTCGCGCCAGGTGAAGCCGATGGTTCCCCCGTTTCGACACATTTGCTCTTTTTTCCGGTATTATTTGAGCAGCGGCAACACAACCCCACACAGCCCTCCAGCAAACAGCACCGGAAACCGGGTGTTACATTCAAAATCTGCAGCGCGACAAGGGGGGTGGGGGGATCGATACACATACCTGGTAGCGGCGGGGGAATCATGGTAGGAGCGGCGGTGCCTGAAAAACAGAGAATTTTACATGGAAAATTAGAGGAATATCCTTAAAAAGGCACTTTCTCGCCTCGTTAATGAAAAATCCAAATCCTGCTTTCACATCTGAAAGGTAGCTTCAGATCTCTGAATTTTTCGCTTTAAAGGACCGTGTAAGGCATGGCTACGGATTTTCCGTGGCTAGGATTAACGCATCGAAACGCGCAACGCGCACTAATAGTGGCCAATAATCGAGAAGAATCCATGGTACTGCCTGATCGATCCCTTTAAAGGGACTGGAAAGCTAGAATCGACCCCTTGCGTCGACTCGATCTCGTCAGGTCCGTGATATGCGACGATTGGACCAAATTAAACACCAATTTACGTTAAGATACATAATTACGTACTAACCATGTTCAAAAACCACTGGCGACATCACGCTTAACACAAGTGTCGAGACCTAGTCGCTAGCAAGAGTCGATTTATGACTTGCGAGTCCCTTTAAGGTCGATTATCAGTGAAATTTTTCCGGTCATTTAGGTTTCTTAGATTTTGTGGGGTCGTCATAACCCATTTAGACAAAAAAAAACGCGCGCCAGCTGGACGGGCTGGCAGAGGGAATTCGGGGAAACGCGCTGTAAAATGCGTACGAAACGCACCGGGCCTTACAGCGGCCAAAGACGTAGTCACGCCAACAATACAATAGATTTTTTAGCATTAAAATGCGGTGGCCGAGTTTTGGGGGCAGAGCACGAGATCGAGCACGAGCACCGTCGATAATGACAGATCGCGCAGCAATAGCAGCTGTACGAGGCACTCCCCCCTGTGCACTCGACCGTAAAAGTAATCTGCGAATACCCTGTTTTTTTGGAGGGGGTGTAGCCCTCGCCCCGTTACGGTTACGCCCGATTTTTGCGTTGTTATTGCGGGCGGGGCTGCGGGAGGAGGGTGACCTTGTTTTAAAGGGACGGGCAAGGCAGCTTTGTGGATTTTTTAGACATGCTTAAGCCTAGGGCGGGCACAACAAACACCGGTGAACCATAGCCAACAATCCATATTCTAGCCTTGTGAATCCCTTTAATCTGAAAAAATGCGCAAAATTTAGTAGGCTTTTTGAGGCCAAATGACCTCGAATTTTCGTGGGGGCGCTCGATTCCTCATCCGAGTGAATCATTTTTAAGAGAAAAATGGGGAATCCTGGCCATGAAAGAAAACCAATAATTCAAATTTAGGAGTATAAAAATGTAAAATTAACTCTTCAAATAAATATAGTTTAACAAATAAATAAATAAAGCGACCAATTTTTTACTATCGTAATTTAATCGAACGATATATATTTTCAGTTCCGGTTCTAAAAATACCGGATAATTTTATGTAAAGTCGGGGTTTAAATTTTTAAAATACCTATTTTACAATGCGAATTTGTCTAAAAATACCAGGTAAAAAACAAATTCTCAATATAATTAACAATTTAAAATCAAATAATGATAAACCTAGAAATTTAAACTTAAATTACCCAAAAATCACCTGAGCACCCGGAATATGGCCCCGAGAAGACAGTCAGCCATGTACGCGCACGCTGCACTGTATGGCGTTGGGGGGTGGGGGGTGAATGTATCGAGGGGTTGAAGGGGGGAAGAAGAAGCCGTTCTGCCCCTCCCATTCCTTGCTCTCTCTCTCTCTCTCTCTCTCGCTCTCTTTCTCTCTCTCGTTCTCTCTCTCTCTTTCTCTCTCTCGCTCTCTCTCTCTCGCCAGTCCCGTGTCGGCAATGTATTTGAGAGGTCGGCTTGTGTGGTGGGGGGAAGAAAACGATCTGACCCCCCTGCAGCCCATCCCCTCCATCTAGCCACGGGATGTGAGTGGTTTAGTGGCGAATTTCGACTTTCAAGTGCTTTCTGGCGTTTTGGCTTTTTTAAAGGGATAGTGCCAGCTTAAAAACTAGTTTTAAAGGGCCTGGAGGTGGGAAAATCGGCCTTGTTCACGAACTAGGTGCCGCCAGCTACGCGGTACTCCAAATGACAGGTGAAATCGGGGCGCTTTTTCACTTGTTGACCCCTTTAAAAATCACTTGGTGACTTTTTTGCAGCGTCGCAACACGCAACGCGTCCTCGTCATTTTGTTGCGTAATCGATTACGACACCCTAACCGCGTTGCGTATCGTCGAAAAACCCGTAGACAAAAAAGCTCATATTCCTGCATCCCTTTACGAAAGCAGAAATCCGAAAATTCCGACTTTCTAGCTGTCATGGTCCTTTTAAAGGGATCAAAGAGTGCCAAAATCGACCCCTCACCTCCACTAGGTGTCGTTAACTACGCAGTACACCCAATTGCGCGTAGAATTTACCCTTTTCGCTAGGATTCATTGATCAAGCGTCATCTGGCGTACCACCTAGTAAAAATTAGAGGCATATTCCCCCTGGCTTCCTAGCCACTTTAATGCCTTAAAACGCACGGCCCATAAATCTTTGCGGTCATCTCCGGGGGAGGTTTTGCGGGGCGCGTGCGTGTGGAGTGCCGTGTAATTCGGCTCTCCTTTCATCGGGGGCGGAAAGCAGCAGCAAGAAGCCGTTTGTCGGCGCCGCGCGCTACGTGCAAACACCTCCAGCGCGCCCGCGCGTCCACCCAGCGCGACCTGTTCCAATCCCTCGGCTTATAAGGGGGGTTGCAAGGGTCTTAAGGGGTCCGGAAATCAAGGAAAAATCCAGAAGAAAGTTTAGAAAAATTCCACAGTAAAACTAACTCGTTGTTTTGATCATCGATAGTGCTGCGGTCGATGGACATGATGGTGCTGACGTCGGGTTCGAAGGAAGATCTAGAATTTAGGATTTCCTTTCTTTTGTTTCATCTGTGTACTGGAACGCGTCTTCTGCGAGTTCAGAGAGTGATAGATGACAGAGATACAGCGAGAGAGAGAACGTGAGAGAGGGTGAGAGAGAAAGAGGGATACTGAGAGAGAAAGAGAGAGCGAGAGAGAGAAAGAAAGAGCGAGAGAGAGAAAGAGAGAGAGAGAGAGAGAGAGAGAGAGATAGAGAGCGCGAGAGCGAGAAATGCATTTTTCTTACTCACCTGACCATCGCCAGCCCGGCGATCTGGTCCAAGCTGGTCGACGTGGAGAACGAGTCGCCTACGAGCATAGGCTGATCACTGAAATTTCGTGATTAAATGGGCGTGCAAGTCAAAAAGTCTAGTGTTTTTGGCCAATTGCGAATTTCCGTGAACAGACCGATTTACGGATATAGGAGAATTCTAGCAAATGCTTCACATGAAAAAGAGCCGGATTCTAGACGAAGCCCGGGGGAGCACGAACGGAAATCGGGAAGGGAAATGACCCTCGGGCCCAAGCGCCGGGAGTAAGAGGCACGGGGTGAAATCCGATCTTCACGGGAGCACCCCAACCCCCCGGTGGCGGTTTATGATGGCCGGCCGATTTGGCGAGGCGAATCAAGAGGATGGGAAAAATAAAACAAGAAATTAGAAATTTATACAATAGGAAAACTATTGAGAAAGTAGTGGTTGGATCAAGGATTTGTAAAGGTTCGAAAAATCGCTACCGCTTGGAAAATTTGACTCACCGAATCTCGTCGTCGATCAGCCCGGGTTCTTGCGTGGAGCGCACTGAAATGGCAGAGTTAAAAGGCGTAATGTGGAGTCTTTTGGAATCGGAACGCGGCCCCGCTTTGGTCAAGGGCAAAGCGACTTTGGGCCGTGGAATAGGGGTGCGCGAGGCGTGAGTCAGGATAAACAATTCGAGAATGGATTGGGTTTTTGGCAACATTTTTTAAATGATTAAAGGGACCGTGAAGCGCAAAATCGACTCTCCTGCCGCCAAGGTCTCGACAGCTACACCTACAACGAAACGAAATCTAACTCGAATTTTATACAGGTTTTAGAAACACCCGTACAACAATGAAAAATGTCGGCAATTGTTGGATTTTCGTCAAAAATGTATAAAATTACCAATAGTTCGAATTTTCTAATTTAAACCTAGTTTTTGTAGGCTTTTAGCAATCCAAGGCTACCAAAAACAGTATAAAAACGTTATGTATTATCAACAGGTAGGTTTACGCGGAAAAATGGTTACCCCCCGCTAACAACATAGTACCTAAAATTTTTCAGTTTTTCGAAAAAACAACCAAACCTAATCAATACTTCACAAAACGAATTTGCCAGCCGGGAGGCTGGGTGGGGTTGAGGGAAGGACAAAACCTTCGACTTGCCGGGCCCTGTGCGGGACCCAAATGAATTGGATTCCGGGAGAGCCCCAATTAGGGCCCATCCCATAGACACTGGTGGCCCGCTTGGGAATTGGGGTCGTTTTGTGAGGAATGGCGCTTTTGGCCAGGTCCGAAATAACTGCTCAAACAAGCGCTTCACCCCTGAAACAGATATGGCACTCGAAAAACGGTTGGTGCATGATGTGTGTACCTTGCAAAAAAGTTTCGGGTTATTTTGTGCTGTAAAAAGCTTCAACGCTTCAAATAATACACAAAAAAGCCAAAAATCCGGGTACTATACGGTTAGCAGGGGGGCTCCTTGCCCTTAAAAATGTTTTCAAAAATTTGAATTTTTGGAAATTTTTTTTTCGTGAGTTTGCCATAATTTTTGAGATTTTTTAGTTTTTATACCTAAAACCGCGGAAGGGAGGGGGGGGGGGGGGGGGGGGGGGGGGGGGGGGGGGGGGGGGGGGGGGGGGGGGGGGGGGGGGGGGGGGGGGGGGGGGGGGGGGGGGGGGGGGGGGGGGCAGACCGGGAGGCGCGAGTGCAGAGCGAAAAGCTCACCTTCTCCTCCCCCGAGGGCTCTGGCTCCACTGCTTGAAGCCGAGCGGGGGCAGCTCGACGTGCGGCGAATTTTCGATGACGGTGCCTGAAAACAGAAATCGGCTTCAGAAAGATACGAAATCTCCTACTTTCACTCTCGGCCAACGGCGCGTCTTGGCGAAGACGTAGGTGCAGGTTTTGGCGTGGGGATAGTGGCATCGTCACGGAGGTGGACAGGGGCTAAAAGATGCGGTGCTTACCGTTTAACGGGGGGCTGATTTTAATTTTTCGGCCCATACTTGTGGTTAATAAACAGTGTATTGTTATAAGTTTTTAGTAGTTTTTTAGTTTCTAGAAAATTATAAAAAACCAATTGTAGAAAATTTCGAAAAATCAAAATTTCTACTTTTTCTTCTGATTTTCATACATTTTTGACCATAAAAGCTAAATTTCGAAGCGTTTCATAATTTTTATAAACTTTTTACATCTAAAAATCCGCGTAAAAGTCTATAAACATTGCCTATTTTTCGTTATAGGGCCGTACGAAATTACTGGGGTATATGCCCCCCCCCCCCGCTAAACGAGAAGCACCGAATAAGCTATTTCCTAATTCTAATTAAGCATAAAAATTTATTGAAAAATATGGTAAATTATTGAAAAATATCTAGTAATACGAACCTTGTTGACCTTGTGCTTGTCCTTCTTGAGCAGGAAGTTCTTCAGCGAGCGGGCGGTGAGGGGCGTTCGCGGGGCCTTCTTCGGGGCTTCCTGAGAAGATTGAGTTAGAGGAGAACCAGAATCTGATTAGCTGCCCATTTCTTGGAGATGGGAGAGAAATGGAGAAGACCAAATTGAGGTGTACCTGCTTGGCGACGGGCGGCTCTCGCATCGAGGCACTTTGGTGGAGCTTCCCGGTTGATTTTCGGGGTTGTTCAACAGGGATGGGTTGTTGCTGGGTCTCGGTTCGTTTCTTGAGGGGTGAGGTCCCACGGTGCTCTACCATAATCCGTTCCTTTGGAGGGGCCGGCACGTGGAACACTGGCGGCTGCGATTCTGGAATGAAGTACGGGTTTTTTGGGGTGATGGCGTCGAGAAAATTGGTCGTTTCTACCCAGCTTTTTCTACGGCATTCCTTAAACGTTATTAGATCGATAAAAAGTTTTTTAATCTGGTTTTTATACAATTTTCGACCTATCACGCTACCTAGTGACTTCAATAAAGCCATCAAAAATCGCGGTTCTATTGCATTATCGAAGGGACCAACTTTTTGTATGACCGAATTTTACAATTATCAATACCGGAAGTGTTTCTAACCTTTTCGTTACTATTCCTAAACCTAAAAACCTTACAAAAATAAAAATGTGAAAAAAATATAGATGTTTCCACCAAACCAGCCGATTTTTGTAAAAAATTTCGAATTATAGACTTTTTCAATGTTTCGGCTGTTTCAGATGGTTTTTCTCGTTGAAACCTAGTTAAATTTTACAAAAAAATATTAAAACACTTTCTATAACGTTTCTAGGCATTTCAGATTTATAAAAAAATTTGCATAGTTGAAAGTTCAATATGTCATATTTTTTATGAACCAAATTTATGGATTTTTTTGGTGAGATTTGCATTGGTAAATGTGGAAATTCTGATTTTCGGCAATAAGAAATTCCGCAATTTCAATTGTAGTTATTCTGAAATTTTCACAGTATCGATTTTGACATTATGAAATATTGATTACATCTTGAAAGTGACCCCTAAAAAGATCCCCCATAGGTATAAAAAATTACCGCATTGCCCGCGCAAGCAAAACATAGTAAACTTTAGTATTAGAATCCAATCCAGTTGTCTGTACTGTGTGGCAAAAGTATTGGCATGGAGGGAAGGCGGGAAGGTTGTTGCGCGTTGAATGGGGACCGGACCCCCCAGCCGAGATATATTGGCCTAGAAAAGCGCAATAATGCAGCAGCAGCAGGGCGATCGAGGGCTACAGGATGATTGATGGTTGCCGGCGCACTTTTTTTTTTGATAATAATGGCGATGGTGGTGACTTCTTAAACGGGCAAACAGGGCTGGGCGGGGGAAGGTGTAAGGGCGGGAATCGGGTAACTTGAGATGGGAAAGAACGCTTGGGAAAATAACTAGGCTAAACAAGTTTAGAGGTTAGGGAAAACATTTTACGAAGATTTTCGTAGTCTGGAGTTTTTCGAAATATTTTTCGTAGTCTGGAGTTTACCTAAACCTAAAAACCGACCCTTTTTCTCAAGCGGCTCGACGTTCTCCCGATTGCTGTCGGTACTCAACGGGCCATTGCTGCTGCAGGGCGAGATGACCTGGGCCTCGTCCATCGCCTCCTCGGCCTGTTGCCTCAACGCCGGCTCCGATTTCAGATTCCTGATCTTCTTCAGCCTAAAGTAACGTTTGATTTGAGCTATAGAGTCTAGAATTCGATACCTCAACGGCTCTGCCTGTTCATCATCAATCGGCACCAACATCAGCGTGGATGTCTCGCTGTGGAGCATCGGGTCCTGGTTCTTTTTATCGGTAGTTTTTCGTTTCTCTTCGATGTGCTTTTCGAGAGCATCTCGCACTTTTCGCAGCCGGAGCATGTTGGCCTCTTCGTGCTCACGGCCGACGTTTGTGTAGAGGAGCGTTGAGGCCTCGCTCATCGGGGTCGTGTCGATGGTTAGCTAAAATTGGGGTAAAGAACCGGAAGGCAGCGCAAAAAAAAACCCGGTACTTTTGCATTATCGAGGGGGTTTGATTATTTCTCAACGTAACTTCTATCGATTTCATTTAAAAAATTCCAAATTATCGTTTTTTTTACCGAAAATAACCGATTTTCGACCAAAATTACACTTACAAATTTTTTGAAAATTTTTGTATGGTTTTTCCACATCAAATATCTTTAAGCTTTGCTAAAAACTATAAAAACACGTGAGATCAAGTTACTACATTTCTGGGCCTATAGGGAAAAAGCCCCCCCCCCCCCCCCCCGATAACGCGAAAGGAACCAAAAACATACCACACTATCGTCCATTTGAAATGGCCTGATATCCGGACGCCGGGGAGCGAGCTTGTTATGGATTTTCTTGAGACGTAGAAGCTCGCCCTCAGGATCTTCCAGCGGTTGGAGGAGGAGTGTCGAGGTTTCGCTGAGGAGCAGCGACTCCACTTCCGGTTGATCCTGAATGAATTTATATGATTTTATAGCGTTGCTGTTTGATGCATTGCTAATTTCTACGTTTCTATTTAATACTTTTATACCTAATATGTTTTGCACTTTTATTGGCCAACTTACCAAGCACATTCTCATAAACTCGCTGCGCTTTTTCTCGCTCTCAGGACCCCGGGTCAGCTCTTGAAGCCTTTTTGCGACTACGGGACTTTCCACAGCACGTCGCTGCAACTCTTCGAGCTGTTCTGAGGTCAGCTTCTTCAGATGGAGCGCTTCCGTTGATTCTCCGTCTAGAAAAATGCGGTAAGTACATTTAAAAATTTTTGTATACATATAAAGAGATAAAAATCGATCTAAAACGAAAACTGACTCAGCGGGGCCAGGTAGAGCGACGAAACCTCACTGACAGCTATCGAATCGGTACGGGGTGCATCCTAAATCGAAGCGTTTATGAAAATATGGATACTTTTACCAGGCAACAGGCGGCAATACCCTGGAAGATTCGTCCAACGTCGTCAGGGCTGGCCAGCTCGCGCATTGGACTCTGAACTACCGTATTTAACAAAATCATGGCTTAAACGGGTACTGGACTGTTAGCAGGGCGAACCAATTTTTGTTTTACCGCCCATACCTGGCTTTTAATAATAAATACTGTATTTTACAATGTTTTAGCAGTTTTTGATTGCTAGAAAGCCACAAAATTCAAAATTCACAGTTTTTCAAAATTCAAAATTTGGATTAGTTTTGGAAATTTTTTATCATTTTTGCCCAAAAAAAGTAAATTTTGATGGGCTTTTTATAACCGAAACTTATACGACTTATAAAAACTGCGTAAAATGCTATAAAAACAATTTTTTTTTATCGGGCCCTACAGAATTACTGCGAAAAATTAGTTTTCCCTGCTATAAACCCGTCGGCCCCCCCCCCCCGCTAAGAGCACAATGCCTTAAAAGTATGCTAAAAAATCTGAAAGCTACCTCCTCTGGGTGCAGCTTTTTCAGATGTACTTTGTCGCCGCCACCGATTGGCATAAGGCAGAGTGAGGAGACTGAACTGCCGCCGATCGAATCGCGGCGGGGTTGGGCCTGCAAATTGGTAGATTTTTTAGGGCATTTCTAATCATTTAAAACGTTTTAAAAAGTAGTTTTATGTTACTTAAAAAGTTACTTGAACTTAATAAAACATTTTCGTCAATTTCAAAACTCACCCAACAAAACACGGCAATTTCCTTGAGTACATCACGCTCCTCTTCCTCTTTCAAAACTTCCGGTGCTGGTGGCAGAGCTTTTGGTGCCGATGGGTCGCGAATCTTTTTGATCGTGATCGCCTCATCAGCTGGTGCTCCAATTGGGAGGAGATGGATGGAGGAGGCATCGGAGAGGCAGATTGACCCGGTGCGAGGTTGGTTCTGGAAATTAACGGATTAAAACAATAGGTTTTTCAAAGCCTAGAAAAAGTGAATAGGCCAAAAGCTAGATGTGTCAGAAGGAGCGTATCGTACACACCCTGCAAAACAGCGCCACGTCCTTCAACATCTTCTGCACATCTCCGGGCGTATCGGCGAGCGTCTCGGTGCCGTCGGGGTGCAGCTTCTTCAGCCGAAGCGGTTCCGTGCCCTCGTCATCGCCAAGGGGGAGTAGGTACAGCGTTGAAGCCTCGGAGCCGACGATCGACTGGGTTTTGGGTTGGGACTGTAAAGGAAAGTGTTTTTTCTGGTATTGAGAACGAATTTTACGACGAATAAAATTTCCAAGCCACCTACCATACAAAACGCAGCGACCTGCTTGAAGATCTTGGCAATATCATCGTCACGCGCTTTTTCCAGGGCCGTCGTGGGGCGAATTTTCTGGAGGTGAAGTGGCTCTTCTGGTTTCCCGTCGACGGCAACAAGATCAAGGACGGATGGGCCGCTGGAGGCGATCGATTCGGTGCGTGGTTGGCCCTGAAAATTGCATTCATGAAAAATGGTACCAAAAATTTGTAAAAAACTACCGAAAAAACGATAAAATGCTTACGATACAAAAATCGATGACGTCATCAAGTTCGGGGCGTCGTGGGCGCGTGTCCGTTTCCCGTATCTTTTTCAAGCGCAACTCCGGCGCGTCGTCGTCATCTGGATGGAGTACAATGGTCGACACCTCACTGAGGAACACTGGTTCGGGCTCTTTTTCGGCGCGGATCTGGAAAGGTTATCTCTCTCGTTCGCTCTCTCTCTCTCTCTCTCTCTCTCTCTCGCTCTCTCTCTGCGAAATGCCACTTACCGTGAACACTTCAGTCGTGCATACCGTCGTTTCTTCTCGTACCCGCTTCAGCCGTAGCGGCTCGACTTCCGGTTGTCCGATAGGTTGTAGGTAGAGGGTTGAGGTTTCGCTCATCGGCGTCTGCGCCACGTCTGGGGTCAACGGGCCACCGGGGCTCATTCCGATGTCCATCGGGATCTGGAAAAATCACACTTGAAGGCGTGGCGTAGCGTCATTTGGAAGTGGTACGTAGTTGACATCCGCGGCAGTCAAATACTATTTTTTACTGACCTCATCCTCCTGCTCATCCAACAGATCCCTCTGGAGCTCATCGTTATCACGAGCATGAGCAATGTCAGCCTCAGCCTCGGCTCGGTCGTCCGGTGATCCGGCAAGCCCGCTAAATTCTCGCCGAATCGGTTGCGGTTCGACAGCAAGATCGGTAGGTTTCGTCATTTCCGGTAAAGGGAGGATGATGGTCTCCTAAAAAATGGTACCAGGTAAGAGCTTTTGACCCCCCCGATAATGCAAAAGCACCATTAAGCCAGCACCAACCCCACCTCAACAGCCAATATCGTCGACGTGGTCGAGGTCGGGTCCCGTAGAACAATGGATGTGTGCGCGTGGCGGAAGGTGGGTTGTGTGATGGCAATCTGCTTCTTGATGTTCTCCTCAAGCATTGGGGGCTCCTCTACATTGTCGTGGGGCTTCTCGAGCTCCTCCCGCTGCTTCTCCACCTCTTCTAGGGTCACCTCTTCCCTCGAGGGACTTCCCCGGAGTAGCGTTATCTTTTGTGGCGGTCGCAGCTGGAAACAGAGTCCTGGATTAAAGGGAGGGGCTTATTTATGGGCGGGGATGGCAGGGGGAATGTAGCGTTTTTGCAGGAGCAGCTTGGAAAAGCGGAAGGGGTGCAAGGAGGAAAAGCGGAAGGTTGATACCTTGGATTCCTTCGAACTGCCCGCCTCCATCGAGTGGCTTTTCGCCATTTTGTAGCTGGTGTCGCTGTCGGCGCGGCGCGGCGCGGCTGGCCGCATGCTGAAAAATGGGCACTAGGTTTTTGGCTTCAGAACAGGTAGAAGCTGGGAGTTGGGAGTTGGACTCTTAGGATTCTATTAAAACACGAACCGCCACGCGCCCCAGGTTTAGCAGCTGGGAGCTGGTAGCTGGAAGTAAAGTAGTAGGATAACGTACGTTAGGTGCACGCGACGCCGAAAAAGCCTAAGCCTAAGCTAAGCCTGACCTAAGCATAAGCTAAACCTAAACTAACGGGTCAGCCTGGCTTGAGCCTAACCGAGCCCAACATAAACCAGAGCTAAGCCTAAGCAGACGGCTCCTAGCTCCTGCTCCCAACTCCTGCTTCCAGCTTCGCTCCCAGCTCCCAACTTCAAGCCTCCAAAGGCTTCAAATAGGAGCTAGGAGCTGAATTTCACGACGCAACCATCCCGCGCGCTGGCAGCTAAGGGTTCATTTTAAGGCAAAAGAGGCCGTATTCCAGTTCCCAGTAAGCCCATAAATTTCCAGCCAGATTTCCGACGTACACCTCTAAACAAAACGCTCCGTTTCCCGGGGAATGAAGCCGAAAAAAAATGTATGGGCGGTGTTTAGTGTATTGCCACGGAATGGAAGATGTCAAGGGGGCCGGGGGCCTAGGCCCAAATCGTGGCGCCGGGCCCGGGGTTGACAAATCCCCGGCAGTCATTTCTCATCCGGGTCTCTCGCTCCTTCTCTCTCTCTCTCTTTCTCTCTTCATCCTTGAAAAGACGGGAGGAAGATGAGGTCCCTGGGGGACACTCCGTTATGCTGCTATGCACACCAACACACCAACAGATACCAGGCGACTAAAAGGGGGAGGGGAGAGTTCCCTAAAATGTGCTCCCCTGGATTTGGAAGGGATTACCCGTCCGGGAGCGCTTGAGAACGAGCGGCACCCATGTACGGCTATATTTTTGGAATGAAAAGTTATGGGGAAAGGAGGGAAGAGGCTTTGGGGAACGGCGCTTTAAAGGGGCAGGGACACACCAGAAACGGCAAATTCAGGCAGAAAAGGCAGAACGCTAGGGTGTTCTTTGGAGTGTAGCGTTGCGAGATTTGGACTACCATAGATACAATGCACACTATAATTGCTTTGCGCCTGTAACAGAGAGATAATGTGTGAGAGAGAGCGAGATAGAGAGAGAGAGAGACAGATAGAGAGAGGGGGAGCGTAAGTAAGAGGCAGTTAGAGAGACAGATAGCGAGAGAGAGAGGGAGGGTGAAAGAGAGTGAAAGAGAGAGAGGGAGAGAGAGCGAGAATGAGAGAGGGAGAGAGGGAGCGAGTGAGGGAGAGAGTGAGAGAGCGAGAGAGAGTGAGATAGAGAGGTAGAGAGCGAGAGAGTGAGAGAGAGCGAGAGATTAAGACAGAGAAAGAGAGTTGGTTACCAATTTCTGAACCTGTTTACTACCGAAATACCTTTTTAGCCTTGTAAAACTAACCAAAAGCAACCCCAGAAACCCATCGTCAGAATGGATCCAAGCGGAATATTCGGGGAATGCGTTCGTTTTTCGAGAATAGCCGATTTTTGTTGTATTCGATCGAAGGGAGGGGCAATGTGCGCGTTTCCCATGCTCTTGCTTCCCCTCTGATATTTGAGTCAATAGGGTAAACACAGAAGAACTCGATAAAACTATGGGGGAGAGGGAGAGTGGGGAGTGGCCGTTCGCCAGATTAGCCGTGGCTTTTCGAAAAGAATGACCAAAGTGCCAGCTTAAGCTCGGCTTAAGCTGGGCCTAAGCTAAGCCTAAGGCTAAGCCAAGTCTGCGCTAAGCCTAAGCCTATGCGTAAGCCTAAGCCTAAACCTAAGCAAAGCCAATCCCTTGAAAAGCCAGGTTTATACCAACTTTACTAAAACACGTCCTAACGAAAAACTCAGACTCCCAAAAATGCTCCAAGAATCCCTGCTAGCCTGTCCTAAGCTTCGAAAATTCCGGCTCAACTTGACTTGCAATGAATCAGCTGAAGCTCCACAAACCTGCTCATACTCCGGCTTCCCTTGATCGAAGACGACGTGGCACTGTCGTGGCTTCGTCCCAGCCGCCCCAGCTTACTGAAAAGAGGCATGTTTTAGGGCGCTAGGTCTGAAGCACCAACCTCAACTTGCTCCTCACCGAATGGGCGACGCTCATCAGCGGCGAGCGGGGCGTTTCGGGTTTTTGCTTCTGGAAATTGGGTGTAGATTACCAGTCGATAAGTTTAAAAATTACGATAGGAATGTTCTACGGTAACCATTAATTTCTGTAAATTCGGTACTTACCATAGCTCCACCCGCCGAAGTCGAAGCCGTATTGCGAGAGCCGCTAAACCGGGGCAGCATTGTCTGAAAAAAGATGGATACAGTTTTCTGGACAAAAATTGGGCCCAATGGCCCCCTCGGTAAGTTTTGGGCAAAAAGGAAATATCTGCCACGGGCGGGGATCGAACCCTTCTCCCTTGGAACCACAGCCGAGAATGCTAACCACTAGACCAAGCGCCAGCCCAGTTTTCATGAAAATCAAGGCTACGAAATGATACAGAACACGGAGGGGAGCGGAGCGTTGTGTAGCGGGTTGTTCCGGGGGAGATGGGTTGCCATTTGCATCGGGAATGGGTCCTCCTCGGGCCCCTAGCTGCAAAAGGCCCGATGAGAAATGAACGTCTAGGGATTTTGGAGGGCCAAACAACCAAGAATCTCGCCTGGCCAACCAGGCGGAAATAATAAATAATAGGATTATATCCGGGAAATCGTATAATTTACGCTAATTGATTTTAAGCTGAAGATGTAGCTGAACAGTCAAGGACGACCAAGTTCAACAAGTACCTAATCGAATCCTAAATTTTAAGTTGATTCATGACCAACGAGTTCAAGAAAAAAGCCCAAAATTCCAAGGAATGTAACTATTTCTAGATGCTCCAACGAGTTCAAGAAGTACAACTTTGAAAAGTATCTGCGAAAGTCTTAGACAGTAAAAATTCCAAGATCAACGATTTCAAGAGGTACGGGACGAGCTTCAATTAAACTAAATTGTAGGCGATCTAGCAATCAGTTGATGACCAGCGACTTCAAGCAGTTCATAGGTAAATCCAGACATGGCAATCCCGGCCGGCCCAGCCGCCCGGCCGAGCCGCCGGCCTAATTTCCATAAAAACCCGGCCCCATACGAGCCGCGTTAATGACTTACTTCCGGAAACCCGGCTACCGGCCCAGCCGGCATTTAGTTGCGGCCCGGCCAAGCCGGTCCGGCCGAGCCGGGAAACCGGAAGTTGTTTATTTACTTATAGAATCCGTGTATCTTATGCAAAATTGTGAATGGAAATGACAAACTGTCGATGGTGGAATAGTTTAGCCCTTGCCATAAAGCCAATTATTGATTGAATCCGTAATTTGCGTACCGGAAACGCGAAAATCTCATTTGGGTCCGGCTTTCCGGCTTTTCAAAAGCCGGCGGCTTGGCCGGGGCTCCGGCTTTTAAACATAAAAAAGCCGGGGCCGGACCGGAAGCTCCGGCCCAGCCGCGCGGCTCGGCCGCATGCTAATTTTTTCCGGCCGAAAAAAGCCGGCGGCCCGGCCGTTTGCCATGTCTGGGTAAATCCAAGGTTTTTATAGCATTCATTTATAGCAATTTTAGCTTCACCACAACTCCAAGGAGTTCGTCAAAAAAATTAACTTCGGAACGACTTAAGAGCTAGTTAATTTTTACGAAGAAGCGGTTGATGACCATCAACTTCGAGAAGTACCGAATAAAGGCCAAAAATCGCCAGGAAACTGGTTGTAACTTGTAAAGACTCGGAGGGGCAGTAGTGCCCCCCAAGGGGGGCTTAATCAATTTTTGACGCCTAATTCGGGGGCGGTGTGTCCATAGGAGGGGAGCGGAATGGATGGGGAAAAGGGTCTTTTGAAAAGGAGAGCAAGAAGGTTGATGGGCTGCCGACACGCAGAGGTCCCGGCGATGAATTCGCCAATTCCAGGGAGGGCATTCCCCATCCATTGGTGCTCCTTGTCCTAGGGGAGGATGGCCAAATGAACCTGTCAAGTGCAGGGGGAGAAGAGAAGGAAGCTGATGACAACCCGTTACATACATAAATGAAACCCGTAATTGGGTGAGAACCGGAATGGGAATTCAGCACAAGCTTGGCAGGCTAGCAGTGGTCGTTTGGGAAGAAATTTGAGCTCGGCGAGCTAGCAGAGATTCTTTAGGAAAATATGCTAGCTTGGCAGGCTAGACAATGTGGCTTCGAAAGATAAAATTAGCTGGGCAAGCTGGCAGAGGCCCTTTAGGAAGCACCTAGCGTTCGTCAAGCTATCAGAGATTTTTTAGGAGGAGAAAGTTGCCTTAACAGCCAAGCCGAGGTCATTTAAGCAGAGCTCGAGCTCAGCAGGCTACCAGAGGTCCTTTAAGAACCAACTCGTGCTCATGTCAGCTAGCAGAGATTATTTGGGAACCAGCCCGAACTTAGTAAGCCGGCAGAGGTCTCTTGGGACAAGTTCGAACTCGGCAAGCAAGCAGAATTATTTGGGAGCAAGTTCGAGCTCGACAGGCTAGCAAATTTCGAAATTCCCTGCTTTCACCACCGTGTTTAAAAAAATACAGTACCCTTAGGTTTCGAAAACCTAAAAACGAAACTTAGAAACCCGCAGGACCCGTCTCGTCTCTAAACGTTTAAAAAACGCTTAGAATCAATTTGAACCGTAAGTTTTAATAAGCTATAAAAGCCCCTATATTTTATGGAAATCCAAAATATAGCGACCAAAAAGGCACCCTCGTTCGCGTCGTGGTAATGACGTCCGGGGGTATCGGAAGCCCGGGGAGGGAAAAGCTCCGCGCAAAAAAGGCGATTACTTGGATGGCGTTCCCGCCGGCGGGGTCCACTTTGTTTAAGAGGAGACCGAGAAGCCCTGGGGGGGGCCAAACCCAGAAGCGGTTCCGTTTCCCCCGGGCGGCTCATAAAGTCAATGAAGGGGGAAGGCGTGCCGGAATTGGATATTCGGGGGGCAGGGATTCGATTTAGATATGCGGGAAAGCAAGGCAAAAAAAAGGACAGCATCGGACTGATTGATTATGGTACTTTTGCATCATCGCAAGGAGCCGATTTTTTTGAATAATAATACATTTTTGAATTGTGTTATTAATAAAATTTAACTATACTCAGGGGGAAAAACCATCTAAATACCTGGAACATGTTCAAAATATGTCGAAAATCGGCATTTCTGATCGAAAAATCGACATTTAATTCTACTTCCAATACAAAACCTGTCTTGTTTTAACGCTTAGAAATAGCTATGAAATTCCGATAAGCCTTTCCCCCCCCCGATAATGCAAAAGCCCCTAAGACCGTACTTTCTGTTTTCTGATTACGGTATAAGGCGCAAAATTTAAAGTCGAATTTTTGGAGAAGTTTTCCAAAAAAGCTTTTGAACTGAGCGTTCGCGGTTCGTTCAGGACCAACCGGAAATTGACATTTTTTTCTGGTCTACCCCCTGGTTTCGACGAAATTGATCGAAATAAAAACAAACTTTTGGCGCCGGTATCCTGGAGATCGTCTCGACCATCCGATTCTCGATTATCACGCATTGGTCTTCGGGTGGGGCCACGATCGAGTCGTGCTGAAATGCGGGGAGTACGGTAGAAACGCTGCTCTCTCTTTCACACTCTCTCTCGCTCTCTCTCTCTCTGACTCTCTCTCGCTCTCTCGCTCTCACTCTCTCGCTCTCTCTCACCCGTTCACTGTTATGTGTCATGATGCTCTCATTGCTCTTGCTCTCCGGAATTGTGGGGATGGCCCGGTTGAGTGGAGGTCGACGGACGGGGCGCTGAAAAAAAGGTGGCATTCTCGGTATCATGAATACAGGGTGTCCCAAAATTATCCGGACAAAACTGAAAACTGACTTTTTCAATTTTTTCGCTGTTTTCGGCATCCGCATTGTATTTCATACTATTTTTTGAAACATTTCCGATGAACCGTGCAAAAAAAAAATTCTTGGAGAACGCAAAATAGCTGCACAATCGAGCGAAGAGCATGTTAAAATTTTTCGCTTCTTAAATAACATAAAAATTGCGGTAAACTTTCAAAATGTGTTCGGACAATTTTGTGGGCAAGAAATGACGTTTTATGGCAAAACGGACCTAACTCCGCCAAGATTCCGACATGTTAATGGTCATTTTTCCGTTTAATACCGATTTCCATCCCATTACTGGGCAAGCTGTTTCTATGCTTGCTCGTGCTCCAGCTCCTCAAAAATCAAAGTTGGCTTAATTTAAATCGCTTGTGCATCATCGTTACCACCAAAAATTTATGCCTCTAGTCCTTGACAATAATCATATCGCGTTTTTAGGGTTCCTCCAGGGCAAAACCTTTAAGGCAACCGGGGCGGCGCGTACCTCGATTTCAACTTTTTTTTTTGCTGGCTGTTTTTTTTCTGGTGTAAACCTAGCGTTTTTGGGCCGGCTAAAGTGTTGCCTGGTCATTTCCGAACTCTTCCTGTGGTTTCTTTGTTCGTCCGGTCATGCTAAAGTTTCTTCTGGGATCGGAAAGCATGCGCGTTTTCAGCGTTTGCAAGGGGAGAGAAATTTGGTTCGAACTTCTCCAATTTATTCCGAAGAGATATGACGGATTCACGCGCAGTTTTCTTTTTAAGCTTATTAAATACACTTCAACGATTCATAGAAATTAAATTATGGTCTGCAAAAACAGGGAAAAAATAGGAAAAAACCGCTTTGCAACTTTGTCCGGATAATTTTGGGACACCCTGTAGGACCCACAAGGTAAAGGCAAAGACATTTTGGGTGGATCTTCTATGGATTTTGCCGCACCCGTACCGGGTGCCTTTGCTTTAAGATGAGGAATTACAAAAATAACAATAACAAAAAATGGAGAATAACTTACCAATCGATCAGTCGTCTCCGGTTGTTCCGGTTCGATCGGACGCAGTGATGGAAGAACCATAACGGTGGTATGCGACCGCGGGTACGGGTAGCTGCCCGATGACGTCCGTAGTAGGCTTCTAAAAGGCCGGGGAAATATTCTAGGGTTTTCTAGGGGAACTGTAGCTCCGTCGGCATACTGTATCCAACCTAGTCTTTTTATTATAGTCCTGTGTGGATAGGAGCGTTGCGTATGTGTACGCCCAGGTACAAATACACCGAAATTAGCATAAATACTACGAAATACGCCCCGTTCTACTACCTGTCCGGCGTAGTTTGTAGCTCGGGCGGCGGCGACGCCTTCTTTTTCGACTTTTTCCGCGTAAAAAACCGAAAGAGCTGCATCATTATCCCGTGTTTCCGACGACCCGTCAGCTCGGCATCTACTGCGCATCGTGTCAAGGGGAGTGTTACG